GAAAAAAAATGAAGAAATAATTTCAATGTTAAAGTTGTACATAGTAAATAAATGAAATTTGTGAAATTCTTTTCCTTTTACTTACTGGAACGTATGCTCACAGCTAATGCGCAAGAAAGATAAGCAGCCTATTATTAAGTGAGAGGTCGTTTGTTAAACAGTGTCAGCACTTTGCTATTTTCAATAGATGTTGATTTTAAGAAATCAGGACCTATCAAGATTTTTTTCAAAAATCAGGAAAAAAGTAGGAAAGTAGTGCCGCTGCGACCTCTGCAATAACATTCGGATAAAATCCGAAGGTGCCGGATTTATTATGATTTTCAAAAGAACAATATATACATAGGAAGTAAATGTTAGTTAGCTGATACCTAGTTTTGTNATTATGATATACCTCCGCTATAAACTGCTATTATTGACAAAAAAAAAATGCAAACGAGGAAGGAAAAAGAATAATAACAAAAAATGCCTGAAAATCATACATTTTATAAACTATATCTTAATTAACAATACATCTGGCAACAAACTACACCATCGTCATAATGTAGATCACTCTCATATTAAGAGCGATATATAGGTTTTTTTCTTCATAATTATATTTTGTGTGATAAAATAAATGCAATCTCTCTTTTATCGCTTCTTCTTCGTCTCGTAGTTGAATAATACTGCTGACTAATAAGAGATTATTGAAAACAATGTCAGTGAAGTTGAAGAAATTGTTGCATTGGTTCCGTGAACGTATTAATTACTACAATGCCTTTATACCTGATGAAAATGAATACGATGATACACTTAATGAGAGTGAAAATCAACTAACAATCGTAAAACATCAATTATATGCTACTCGGTTATATATTCCACTGCTCATTAGTAAGTAAAATAATGATTCACAATCCTTGATTTTGAACAAAAAAAAACAATGAAAAAGAGGTGTTCCTTCGACTGAAAGGAGGGTGAGACGAAAAAATATTTTGCCTGCCTGTCTATGTCAGGATTAATGGTCAACTTCCAAGATTTATTGTTAAGAACCAACTATCACGGGTTAGGAAGTCGAAAATACATCGTCTGGACTATCCTTAAAGATCAAGTACAGTAAATTCGCAATTCACAAAATCACCTAACCAGCCACCAAGCGTACAAAATAAAGAAATGAGAAGTTCGAACCGTAACAGCTGAGTATGAGTTTCCCTAATGATCCACAAATCTCGTGCTAAATAAAGACAAGTAACGCTCATCCTTTGGATTCGCTGACCCTTTTCTGAAAGACTTTTTCTAATGCTGAACACATTCAGAGACTTCGAAAGAGAAAAAACGCACTACGATTGCTACTAGTATTCAACTGAATCATGGCACTATGTCACACACTAGAATGAATAGGATGCAAAAGTCTTTTTAGGAATCAGACCGATTAGCCATTTGTTAGTGAATAATTCTCCAGCACTAACTATGTTGAATGAAAAATTCATCGCTNGAATAAAAACTCGACGAAAATAAGTCTCTTTTATTCGATTAGAGAGAAGGATACGTATGCTTGTTGTGGGTCAAATGTGATCAGCTATGAAGAAATTTTTTCAACAAATAAATTTAGAGCGATAACGGCGGATACTCTTATACACTGTAGTCTCGACATATCCTTCGATCGTCCAATTCTATGACTATTGATACTATTGAATCCTCATTCATTCTAGAGTCAGAAGGAGCAATGGAGTAAAATACTGAACGGTTACTCTAGATATAAGAATCGAAAGCATAAGGTGGCCCAAGAAGATACCGCCTACGTATACTGATAAAAGTTTCAGAAGAAGGATAAACCTTCAAAAAGGATTTATTAAGAAAAAAGAGTTACTCAACGAGCATAGCATACATCATGTCGATAAGATTATTTTTCGGTTATAGGCCCTTTTATAAGTTTTATCATTCTCTTGAAACTTTTATCTGTCTATTCCTTGACTTTTATCATCAGTGTCGCAACAATATTCAAGGGAAACAAAAATGTCGGATGTGAGGCTGCAGAATATACTATTTCATGCGCGAAAAACACTTCAGTGGAAAATTCGACGTGATCGAATATATCGGTTTCTGCCAAACGTGAAATGTTTGTTTGCAAAAATGTTTATTTACAGAACAGAGGCTTTTTAGCTGAAATACCTAGGAAGTTGCTCTTTCCTTATTCTTCGATAGGGTTACAGTTTGAAGTAGATATCATTTTAAGTTTTCATAAATTGCCTTATAAAACGGTGAACTGAATAAAAACAGGATTATAACAAGTAGGTAAAAGTTGTTCGCGCAATCTCTGTGGAATTAGAATGTGAAACACGGTGAAGCCTCAAATATCCAGTAATGTATATAGTGTGCAGGTATGATGGAAGTATCGGCTACTTCTGTGTGTGGAAGAGGCCCACATTTCTGCCCTTGTACACTTCGACATTCTCTTCAACATCGTGTTTCATAAGAGATTGAAAAGCCAAAAAGAATTTTTGCTTTTATTGAATTTCAGTCACTGTTTACATTATCACTTTTGTCACAATCATTACACCACAAACTGAATTAATTACTGTTTCAAACATCGATGAATCACTTTTCAATAAGCTTTATCACAAACATGCTAATTCACTCTCGTGCTTATGTTCGACAACCGCTGTACCATATGCAAATTTTACTACACATACAATTTCATTTCATCCGATATGTTCAAGTGTTTATGTTCGGGAAGAATGGATCAAAGCACTTTATCTATCGCATTCAAGTACATTCTTAGTTATGGATTTTCGAACATCTGCTAGTTCTCAAGTAAATGTAGACATTTATTTAAAATCTTTTAAAAATTTTTAATTAGTTTGAACTTCTTGCTGCTTTATGTCAAATCTCTCAGAATACAGTTGCACAATCTATGAGTGAATTCGATAATAAACAATTTATTACCGTTGAACTTCTTACAGAAGATAAAGTTCATTCTCAAGTCATGGCATATGTGAATTTTATGCGGACTAACATACCTACAGAAGTGACGACACCATTAGAGTATCTTCAAATAATAACACAATCAAACAGAATGATTACTGCACTTAATACTAATATACATGTTCAAATAGATTATGATGACTCTGATGAATCGGTTTATTCTCTCGAACCACAGACAACTTATTATTTTGACGATAATGTAATTACTATAGCAAGTTTATTTAATTCAGGTTGCTCTATAAAAAATTCCATAGCTCCAGCTGATTTTTATCCAATAATGTCGGATTATCAACGTGTAAGGAACCATATTATATGGCCTAAAAACCCTCCATACTGGGAACCGGTTGCTACTTCAATAGTCGATGGTTTTTTTGGAGGATGTAATCCACTTGATGCATTACTTGCAAGTACATTTAATTGTCTTTATAATGTCAGTTGTTTGAAGAATTTTATTGATTATTTTCCAGGTCTCAATCAAGTATGATTTATTTCAGCCTATTTTATATATATATATAACTGTTATTCTTTTGATTTAGACAAACTTCAATTGGTCTGATGGTTTGCCAGCATCAAGTCGACGAGATATTTCTCTAAAAAGCCTTTTGAATGATTTACTTATAGAAGAATGGTCACCGGTAATTAGCTATTCCAAATATTTTATTTCATGCGGTACAACTGTTTGTACATATAATCGAATCAATAAAATGAATATTTCTTATACGATTACCTTTTTACTTGGCTTTCTTGGTAGTGTTACCATTCTACTTCGTTTACTATCACCACTTCTCATCAAAATGTTCTCCAAACTTCGATACTGTTCATTTCATCACTCGAGTATGTTTTTGACGATAAAAATTAAAACTGTAGTTTCATTAAATTCTGTTCTATATATAGTTCATTTTGTAAGAAATATACCCAAATTATTTATGATTTTGAAACAGTTAAATATGTTCAAATCAATAAATAATCAAACACCATTCGATATTCATAAACAACGTATCACGACACGAATATATTTGATCTTACTTACAAGTATGATTATAATCTAAACATTATTCAATATTACATTATTTAGAGTTCCGACAAGAAATAATTATAGTTTACGGTTGAGGGTAGATGTAAGTGTATTAGAGATATCCACTCGGACATTGCAACTGAATATCTGTCTGTGAATGATCAGATTCATTTAGTTTTACAATTTAGAAGTGTTCTTACTAGAGATTTGATGTGAAATCACCTGTTTTCTAGTTGTCTTCAACTTTTAAGCATTAATATTCTTTTTCTCTTATATAAGGTGCAATATTTATCTTACTATCATTTACACTATCACGAGTTCAAATTGAAACGAAAGTTCTAACAAATCCTTCAATAGAAAAATTCGAATATTTACAAAGTTTACATTCGGATTCATTAAAATGTCCATGTACAAGTATAGTAATACCTTATAAAAAGCTCATGATATCATCACCAACTCTTCATCAAGTGTGTTCAAGTGACTTTATGAGTCAACATTGGATCAGATTAATGGGATTTTCTGATGATATATCTGGGATTCGTCTGGCATGGCGTGGTTTTAGTGTTCGACATTTTCGTCTGCTATTTACCCTCTGTCAACTAGCTAATTCCAGCGTTAATGATGCGCTTCAACGTTTTGCCACTCAATCATTTATCACATTAAATGCAATCTCAAAAGATGATTTCAATATCCAAACAAACATTACTTTCTATCAATTTATTCAATTATTCATTATAAATTTTGATTTGCTTGTTAATTTGGGACAACTATTTACTCAAATAGATCAACCGTATACAATAGGTGATAATGCAAAATTTATTGATCGCCCCTTACGAAATAAGACAAATGATGAACACATTCTACCGGTATGTTATCATTATTATTATCGTATTCGCTTCCTTTTTTTAGCTTAAAATTATGAAGAGAAAAAAAAAGCAAGTATATTTTTTTAACTTAATACTCACACCATAAAAATCCTATCGACTCGGATAGTATTTTATCTGAATCGATTCATTTTTCTACTTATAGTTACCATTACATTTAACTGGAGTGAAAACTATTAAAACATCATCGGTTGATTGTATTTGTGCTACTGATCCTGACTGTCAAACTCCAGTTGCTGATCCTGTAGACAGATATAATTCTGTTCCTACAGATAATTATTATGACGTACCAGGAGCAGTGATGGGCTGTTTTGTTCTTGATTCTTTACTACGATCAACTCTTGAATGTTATTATTCAGAGTCGTGTTTGGCCGTTCACTATAAATATATAAATTATTCATTTTTACTTTATGATACAGGTTTCTCATATTTTAAGGCACGCTTACTTGTTCATGATCCTATAGGAAGTCGTTTTCTTCCAAATACAACACTCGACAAAATAGTAAAAGAATTAATGGTTGAACAATGGCACACATCATTTTTATTTGATCACTATTATAATTCTTGTGCACCTATCAAGTGTATGTATCCTGAAGAAATTTCCGCTAATACTTATGTTGAAACAATGGTAATAATGATATCATCAATTGGTGGTCTTATTGCAGCGTTTCGACTTATTAGTACACTATTAGTCACAATTTATTTTCGTCTATTCAAGAACGGAAATGATCAATCACAAAAAAATCACAATCATGGTGAGTTATTAGACCAAATATTCTCTTATGTACAGTGAAGTCTATGAATTTTCAAAGTTAATAATTTCATCAATACATTAAATCTGATAAAGATTAGTAATAAAAAGGCTAAATAGGAAGAATATTTTAGTAGGATAGTTTGATCAAATCAAATATTTTGTATTCGTTTGTCATAGTTCATCTATCATCGTTTGAACGAATAAGAATGAAATCAAGAATGGTATTCAAGAAATTGCATATTTTGTTAATTAATCTCAATATTTTTCCTCTACGCACATTTGGAAGACATTTTGATCAAAGAAAAGCAATGTATTTTGGTAAATTAACAACTCGTCTTTATATTGTTCTGATGTTAATAAGTATCACTATCTTGACATTTTACAATGGTATCAAACCACGTACTTTAATAAATATCTTTGAGAATCCAACTCATAACATTTATGAAAGACTTTTAATTACTCATGGTGATACGCTTCAATGTCCTTGTTCAGTCATTTCATTAACATACAGACAATTTGTCAATATTCAGCCTGTTTTTCATCCGGTAAGTCATCAACAGTATAATGAATACAAGGAAAGTATGATTTGTTTGTAGGTATGCACAAGCCCATTTATATCAGATGAATGGCGCAGAAATATTACAACTAACCTTGTTCCTGATCTTTCTGTTTATTCGAATCGAGATTATCGTCGTTTTCTATCATCACATTTACAATTCCTTTCACAATTATGTTATCGATCTATGAAATCAGTAAACAATTCTATCGATCATTTTCTTTCTTCATATTTTGTAAGTAAACTACTTCTACCAAACAACAAACTACAAGCAGAGATTAATTTATTCATTAATCAAAATAAATTAAATACTCCAGTTTCTTTCATGCGATATTTTTCATTAATTCGATCAGTGAATCATGGTAATGCTATTGTTTCAGCTTATGAAAGTAATTATATATTTGTTAATCCTTGGATTAATGAAAGCAAATCGGTTGCCATCACTAAAGCAATCAGCTATGATGGTAATTGTTCGTGTGCATTAAATTTAAATTGCACTATACAAGCTGAATTTGTACAAAACAATTCAGATGAAAATATAAAAATTAAAGGTTTAAAAATGGGATGTACACCAACTGAAGCATATCTTGCTTCAACATTAGAATGTTTTTATGATTCGGATTGTATTCATTTGATGTTAGAAAATATAAACAATACTAATAGTTTTATTGATGTGAATACTCATTCTTCTCTTCGTATGAATAATAGTCGATTTTTAATGAATACAACTATATTGAATCTTATTAATGATCTTTTTATTGAGAATTGGTTAACAACCATTGATTATTCAACTTATTTTAATCAATGTTTACCAACATCATGTTCATATACATATACGCAAAAATTAAATTCATTCTATACATTAACTATTATTCTGGGTCTCTTTGGCGGTCTCTCATTTGTCTTAAAATGGATATGTCCTAAGATAATCCTTCTTGTACTGAAACTTGATCAATATAATAAAAAACGAAATAATATTATATCAATAGCAACAGTAACTACTGAAAACTCTATGGCAATATCAAATGCGAGTGGCTCTCAAATGATACCTACAAATTCTTCATCTTTGTATAAAATTTTATTTGAAATACTATATACGAATTTATACCAATTGTTATATTTAGAAGACCATCTACAACATCGATACATTACTATTTTCTTTTTGGAATAATATTATTTATCTTTCTAATAGCAATTGCGATTGTATTAACAATTCTTATGAATCGACAGATCAACTCGTTCCATACAATAACTTCAAGTATGATTTGATGCTCTCGATGATCTTTGTCTTCATACGACATATGTAGACGAAAAATAGAATGCATTGACGAAATTTTTGTATTATCAAATAACTTAATATGTTTTTCTGAACGCTTTGTTTTTAGTGTTAACAACAAGTACACCGAGAATGACAACAAACGATCCAAATATTTCAACAGCAACAACAGTTTCTGCTTCATTAGGTTCGTTATGCATTCACTCTGTGTAATAGAGTGTGAGGATGAGGGGGAAAGTAGGGTCCATGATACACGTTTGAAGTTGATAATGAACTTCGCTGAAAGACGCAATTTTAAAAATTTTTGAGGGAGCTAGTTTCCGTGACTCTTACTTAAAGAGATACAGTCAAAATTATCGTTTTGTGCGATACACGACTGGCAAGGTGAGAACCGTAAAAGGAGAAATTGAATGCATATTTAACTTTCTATATGTTACAGTTTCACAACTTATGATGGTTTCGATTTAGATGTATATATCCTACTTTCAGTATACTATTGACGGCTATAAGTGATCTGTACTGCTTCTTCAAAATAAATTTTATATGTATTTTAGCTCTATTATGTCCATTGACATTTCAACAACTAGCTCTATTTACAATTGGTTCCATCGAACGATTATCTTCAATAGGTACTGGCGATTTCAATAATGATACTTATTTAGATCTCGCTGTGGTTGGAGCTCGTGGTTCTGTAAATTATTTATTCATAGCATTGGGTAATAACAATGGGACTTTTCATATTCAGACGACGTATACGATTGAAGAACGCGTTGATACAATTCCATTAATCGTTGCTGATCTTAATAATGATGATCGGGTAGATATTGGTGTTTTTCTTGCGAGATCCATTAGACAAATAGGAACATATATTAGTAATGGTGATGGAACATTTCAGAGTTTAGCGACATTTCCGATTAGTCCTTCGAATAAACCACATTTCGGTTTTACTGTCGGATACTTTAATAATGACGATTACTTAGACGTTGTTGTATTTGATCGTGGTTTAAGCATAATATATGGCAGTAGTAATGGTATTGTTAATGCAGTAGAATTAATAATCACAAACAGTATCTCAATACCGTCATTTATTGGTTCTGGTGATTTCAACAATGATCATCAGATGGATTTAGGTATACTTGATGATCTTCACGACGAGTTACAAATTGTTCTCAATAATGGTGATGGAGATTTTCAACAATCAATATTGTTGTCTTTTGATCCCTTTAGTTCACCAAATTCGTTTGCTGTAGGTAATTTTAACAATGATCATCATCTGGATCTGGTTGTTGCCAACCATCGCAAACATAACATAGTGATATTGTTGGGAAACAATAATGGTACATTTGAAAAACAAATTGTTTTGTCAACTGGCTCATATAGTGGTCCGTATTTGGTACTTGTCGATGATTTCAATAATGATAATCGTTCGGACATTGCTGTAACTCTTTCAAACTTGCATGCTATAGGCTTTTGGGTTGGCTTGGGCGATGGAACGTTTCTACCACAAATAACCTTTTCAACTGGTACAAGAAGCATTCCAAATGTATTTGTTAAAGGTGACCTAAATAATGATGGTAAATTAGACGTTGTTATCTTAGACACTGAAAGCACCAATCTAGTGATTTTAATGAATACATGTAGCTGTTAACTAAATGAAATTTTACAAAACGTGATAAACTTTAGACCTTCAAGGGATTATTTGAACAATTTATTTAATCAAGCTTTGCTTTCTCAACGAAATATCGACGAATATAATTAACACTTGCTTTTTTTTCTGTCCAGTATATTTGTTGCTCTATGTCAAGTCAAGTAAAAACTGAAATGTGAAAAATATAGGATCTCATATATTAAAATCAGCATCCTTGCGTACAGTGAAATCGAAGCTATCTCGAGCAAGTTACGATTAGAAAAGAACTATTAACATTTTTTAGGAAAACCTTCGTACAATTCGCACGCAAATTCGATCGTTAGTATATTCTGAAAGTTCATTTCTCTGCGTATTATATTAACTATCTGATGATCTTTCGAGAAAAACACAAATTTGTTCAAATCGTTTATTATTTCATTAGTTGGTAAAAATTCGACGGTTTCAACTTTATAATTTAGATTTGCAAATATTTTTTTCTATTTTTCTCTTGATCGAATGATAATTTGACCATTAAGTGAAATTTCATACTTTAGATCATAATATGCCATCACTTCATCCATTTTCTGGGCACATATCTGAAATAAATAAAGAAACGAAACAATATTAATAGTATAATTATCGATTACTTACCTGTTTTAAAGAAAAAAGCATGGAGAATAACGCGAATCTTTATGAATATATCACATGGTGAATGATAAGAGACGTTTTGATTCTTATTCTTAGTAAGAAAACAAAATTGAAAGAAAAAGCACATATATCATTGTCGTGTATTTCAATCAGGTATTTCGAAAATTAATACGAGTAAATATCAAAACTCTTGTACGATGAACCAAAGATTTTTTACATTTATAAAAAAGAAAGTGGAGAGAAATGCATCCAATGTTGACAAATAAATTTTTCCTTTCACTTCGATAAATTATCTCATATCGCGTATATTCAGTCGATAAATAATTAACATCTATTTAACAGAATACCCAAAAGAACTATATGAATATGTGTCCTTCTTTCATTCCCTCGACTGAAAGGAGGGTCATGTCTAAAAAAAAGTGGTCATCTTGAGGATGGGTGTGGGAATGAGTAGAACCTGCCATGACCGGTTTTGTCTGTGTTAGAGACTTATCAAATGGCATATATTCATAAAAAGTAATTTTCAAGAATTAAACTAATCCTCAAAATTCGCTTTCGGTGACTAATTACACTGTTAAAAGCCAAATTCACAATTTCAAAACTGAAAAGTTTGGAAAAAGTAAATTCGAAAACTTTTAATGGTAAATAGACATTAGCAGTGTGAGTAGAAACTGCAATGACCGGTTTCGAACCTATAAGAGTTCGTTATCAAATGGCTTAAAAATCTAAATTCTGATTTTATATTATTATTTCAATATAAAAACATCAAAATAACAAAATTGAATCAAAATCAGTTCAAATGATGAGGAAATAGTGATAATACAATTTATACTTACTCTATAGCTGATATTGAGTGAAAATGTAGATTAAAGGTGGTTGTGCGTGAAAGGATATATGTTGCCGTCGTTAGTTGTTTCATGATTTCATTGGATTGTAGATTGTAGGATTTGCGTATTGATGAATATTATCGCTGGTATTTGATGGACATTATTTGACTGATAAATAGTTCTTTTTAATCCATGTTATTTTCGGAAGGTGAGTCGAAGACTTTTCTAAAAGTCAGACGCTTTTAAAACGAATGAGAATTCAATGACATTGTAGTTTTTTTTACATGTTTAGGTCATCTGGTGTTTTCTGCGACTGAACAAGTTTCTTGTGCACTGCAGTGTGTAGAGAATAATCTGCAAGATATTTTATATTCAGTTGAAACTCCACTAAGATACCTTATGACAATTAAAACAGATGAATATTTTAAAATATTTTACGAAGGTATTTGTGCTGAAGCGAGAATTTTAACTAAAGAATCTTTCTTGTCACGTCCTCGAAAACCACCTGCAAGATGTGCCGATTGTTTACCAACACTTCACGAGACAGATTTTGGCTTTTATCATCATCAATATTTTGAAGTTATCAACCAAGTTATAGACTTCGTTGATTCACGTTTTAAACAATCAGCATTTCCCATTGTTATGCAAAGTAGAGCAGTTCATTCTGTCAGCAGCTAATTGGACAAAAGATAGTAATGATTCAACATCAATAAATGTCAATAGTATTCGTGAATTTTCAATTAATGATATTAATGTCCGGCATCTACAACGTGAACTGACAATGTTACCTGACTATTTTTCAACCATTAACAAGGAGAAAAATTTTGGTTTAAAAAAAATTTTGAAAATCAGTACAATTTGTGAACTTTTAAATTCACAACAAATCGGCAAAGAATGTTTTATGAATATAGTAAACTGATATCGTTGTATTTCACAATTCCAGTGACAACCGCCATGGCTAAACGCTTTTTTAGTGTTATGAAACGTGTAAAAACATATCTACGCTGCACGATGACTCAATCGCGATTAAATCACGTTTTGATTCCGCACATTCAAAGAGAAAAGTTAGATCTATTCGATTTCAAAAGCATCTGTTCTGATTTTATCTCATAAAATCAACATAGAAAAGTTTTCTTTGGTCATGAATAGTTCTTAATTTTGATGGAACATTTTTCAATCATCTTTTCAAGCAAAACCTCTTTAATATGTATTTCGTTCATTCTTTATTTTTATTTTAACCAATAAAGCACTAGATAGATATGAAATTTCTACAAGCTTCGCGGCAACTCTGAAGTCTTTTTTCCCGGTTCCATAGAGTAGGTGTTTTTTCCAATGTAACTTGCTTTCTCAATTGATGACTCTCACTCTCAAAATTCGAGCTTACCTTAGATCGAAACCGCTCCGACGCCTATGGTAATGACGTTCTACATTACTATCGATTTTGAAAAAATTCATTGCCAAATGATTGGCTACGGCATTCGTGGCATAATGAAAGTCAAAACGATTATTTATTATACAGAGCGAGGCAGACCGAGATTCCGGTCTCGGTAATCTCTAATTTAGAATTGTGAAACACCAGCAATTAAAGTAGTTCGATGAATTTAACCTATCAAAACCGAAAATACTTCCTCAAATCATCATAGAAATTCTATCTGTAGGTGCTGTATATCCAAATCATGAAATGAATGAAACCACAGACAAATTTTGCACAAGCTGGAGAATGTGATTTTGCGGCAAAATAGAATTTTAAAATAAACAGCTAATTTTTGACCAAATGAGAAAATACATAAATTACGTTAGCTAAATTATCTATAGCAGTTTTGAAGATATAGTAGCCTTCATAATATATTTAAGTAAGAGAGTCAGTGATGTTAGCGGTATTCATCGTATATACATCGTACACAGAAAAAACGATTTCGCACTGCGCATCGGAATCGACATCCTCTTCAGTGTCAAATGAGCAAAGTTTTGAATGAAACTCTTAAAAAAAAACTACACATATAATAGTTTCACATGAATCTTTGCTTGAAGAACAGAAGTGTTTCGTAAAGAATCCTAGTTGAATATTTATCTTCTAAACATTGAGCTCAGAGGTTCCGTATTCAGTAATGACCACAACTAAAATTATATAGTCACTTGTTATCTAACCGTTACCCCGTTATAACTACACGTCGAAGACATATATACTATAACTGTCTTTGATATCATTCTGAGTCTTAATTATCAAGTCGTATGTATCATGGCATCTGCTGATTTAGCTTAAACTAGCTAATAAACTAGGATTGTGGGAGTTTGACGTTTAGGATAATATATAGCTTTGTTGTTTTCAATGAGAAAATAGAGTTAGCTATCTGAATTTGCCACAAAATTAAATTCCTCATTAACGTTTTAGCTGATTTTTGCATCATTCGATGCGCAAAATGCGTCTCTCCTCCTAAATGTAATAATAGTTTTTCTATGTTGAGAAATGATTGAGAAAAAAATGCATAATAATAGGTGTTGACACGCATGTTTGAATTAGGTACATCGCCCCTATCAGTTGATGTCACATAAAAAAAGGTGAACAAAAGAGAATAATTATTTGATATCCGTTTAACGCAGCTGTCCACGTAATTAGATATTGGGCCTTTTGTTTTTAAAGCTAATAATCCTATCGAACTTACTGAATTTGTTGTAAAATGAAACATTATATCATAATTATAAAAAACAAATAACAACAGTATAATTAACGATATGCTACGTTCGACTTCGATCAAAATAAGTGAGAGATAAAACATGACGCATCTGTAAATTTCTGATCATAACTCTATCTTCATATCTAAAAGAATATTTCAAACCCAAAGGAAATGCTTATTCATGTTGGTTTTCAAAAAAGAATCGCTGTTGTCATGTGAAACAACTGTAACACCATCTATGAACGAAAATTCAGAATAACCTTCGCGAGAGAAGCAAAATACAACAAAAAGTTTTATTGTTTTTCAAACAATATTTTTAAAGTGTGACTACACTCTATAGTGTAACTAATGCAAGGATCAGTTGCGCATGCTTCCTCGCTTGCTATCGGAATGTGAGCATTATTAAATATCACCAGATGGCATTCTACATAAATAGGATTTGTTCTTCCGAAATAATTTTTCTTCCTATATTATCTTTTCCCTACTCAACTCGACTGCCAAATAGTGTGTCAGCACTATTTTTCTAACCGATGAAGTCGCTCCGTGAACTAATAGCCACTGGATACACTGTTTTGTGTAAGTTGAATCTCTATCGTTCCATAGTAAGTTCAGACGATGTTGAGAATGGATATCGACTTCGAAATCAACTGATTTCTACTCGACTGTTCATCTGTTTGTTGATTTTCTCAATAATTATTCTTCTTGTTTACACATCTCAAGTGCCAGTAACCTACACAGTGACGATCGATCAACCCACACTTGAAGATTATGCATCTCTCTATGAAAAACATTCAAACACACTAATTTGTCCATGTACAACAATTGCCATAGCTCAAGAAACGTTTATGACACTAAGTCCGATATTTCATCAAGTTTGTCATAGTGATTTTATCAAAAACAATTGGCTATCATATCTTAATGCTGCTTCTGTTTATCTGTTATCATCAGATTTTCGAGTTACTGGAGGTTTAATCTTTCAAATTCTCGCTTCATTTTGTCAACTTGCTCAAGATACAATTAAAAGTAGTTTACCGAAATTTTATTCCACCCGATTTATCTCAAACGAACTGTTATATGAAGAATTATTGTATAATCAATCTAAATCATCTATCGATTTATACATAGCAGTTACTGCAGAAAGCTTTGCTTATTTATTCAATCTCATACGTGACACAGCTTTTGGGAATGGTCTGGTTTCGGGTTTACTTACTAACTTCAATTTTGAACTCACGGAATATATCCCTCAATTCTCCGGATATCGTGTAATATACAAATCAAAGATTTATAATCACCCATACACATGTAATTGTTCTGTTACTCCAACGTGCATTTCTCCTGTAGGAATTTATGACAGTACCACCCGAGATGTCTTGTTCATCATACCTGGACTTTATACCGGCTGTTTGTTGGTTGAAGCTGTTCGCCAATCGAATCTCCAATGTTTGTATAATCAAACATGCCTTCACCAAATCGATAAATTTCTTCAATCACCCGTAACTTTTCATGTTACACCGCTGAATACATCGATTCTCAGTCGTTATAATCAGACAACAAATGTCAGCCAAGTTTTAGGCAATCTTATGATTGAGTCATGGATTAAAAACATTTCCTATTCGTCATACTATAGCGAATGCAAACCAAATCAATGTACTTATACGGAAATCGGAAAAAATAATGCTGTTTATATTGTCACGGCATTGCTCGGTCTTTTTGGTGGACTCTACAAAACTCTTTATTTTCTTGTGCCGATTCTTGTTAAGATCATACGACGTCGACGAGGTAAGTTGATAGTTTGTTATTATCTCAATTCATTCGTTGACGGTTCAATTTATATCTTAGTTTCTGAAGACAATGCACGCTTTACTGAGAAATTACAAAATTTTGTTAAGAAAATAATTGATTTTCTTCGAACATTGAATCTATTTTCATCATCACCACCATCAGCAGACGAATATCAATTAAAAACACAAAGAATATCCACGTTTACTTACATTATTATGCTATTAGTTAGCTTTTCTATTCTATTGATACATTCAGCGACACAAACTATCACTCACACCATAATTATCGACAGTCCATCGTTCAGTGAGTATCAAATATTGTATAACCAACAAGGAGAAAGGCTTTCATGTTCGTGTTCGTCAATTACAAATGAATATGAAGACTTTTCATGGATTAAACCAATCTATCATCCAGTTTGTACCAGTGACTTTGTTGATGACGATTGGGTCAATTATGACGGTTCATTTCGAATGGATTTGACTTCGTATGACTTTCGTTATCAAGCTGCATTGATATTTCGTACACTGGCTTCATTTTGCACACTTGCTAATAATTTTGTTTCTAATTCGTTAATCACTTTCAATTCGACCGAAATGGTTTCAATTGATCTACTTTCGGAAAATTTATTTCACGAAAAGGTTCAATATTTCTTTACGGAATTCATTCAATCTACAACAAAAGCGTTCTCTTATGACTTGAATTTCATTCGTTTAGTTATTCAATCCAATTTGATCATCTCCGGATTAAATACAGACTCTGTCAGTTACTTTCACGGAACATATCCAGCACTTGAATTAGGAGTGCAGTTATTACCCTATGCGACTTGTCGTTGTTTCTCATCAACAATGTGTTCAATGGAAGCATCAATATACTTTTACAATGGCACACACATTCTGCCGATATTCACAATACCAGGATTTCATATCGGTTGTTACATTGACGATGCAATACGGAAATCAACTTTAGAATGTTATTTCAATCAAACGTGTGTCGATTTAATGAAATTCCATCTTAATTATAGTAAATCATTCGATACAAAATCTCTCAATCCGAATGATATTAAAACTCATAATGTAACAAGTGCAGTCGATGAACTTTTTAGAAATGTTATGGTTGAACAATGGTTATCGAATAAGTCCTATAAGAATTACTATGAAAAATGTCGTCCAACTTTATGTTCGCATGTGTTAGCGATAAGAACACCTTTTATTGTCATTATCACTACCTTAATCGGACTTATCGGGGGCTTAATCAAAGTCCTACGGATTATTGTACCATTTGTTGTACGATCTTTGAGACATCGTCGACAAGTTCAAGATTCACAACTTCGTAAGTCTTCAAGAAGAATTAATTGTGAACAAATTTTGTTATTCATTATAGATTGGTCGATTTGTCTACGATATCTCTTACAAAAAGCTATTCATAGGATGAGATATTTAAACCTATTTCGTTCATACAATGTTGAGAATGAATATCGACTTCGAAATCAACTGATTTCTACTCGACTATTCATCTGTTTGTTGATTTTCTCCGTAATCATTCTTCTTGTTTACACATCTCAAGTGCCAGTAACCTACACAGTGACGATCGATCAACCTACACTTGAAGATTATGCATCTCTTTATGAAAAACATTCAAACTCACTCATTTGCCCATGTACAAAAATCGCTATAGCTCAAGAAACGTTTATGACACTAACTCCGATATTTCATCAAGTTTGTCATAGTAGCTTTATCGATTCACGTTGGCGTACTGGTATCGCAAATACAATACTACAAGCTATTTATACATACAATCGAGACTTTCGTTTACGAGGTTTGTCAGCATTCAGTGCACTCGCATCGGTCTGCTCCTTGGCTGAAATCGACATCTTCAACGCACTTCTTCACTTCAATTCAACTACATTCATTTCAAACACTCTTTTATCTAAAAGCACATTGCTTGCACAAGCAAATGCCAGTCTTGATTTATACGTCACTTCAATGGCATACAGTTTTAGTCGTTCATTTGGAATTATTCGAGATACAATTCAAGGCAATGGCTTTATCTCATCAACATTATCTAGTATTACTCTTCGTCTTATCTTAAACAATAGAACAAATACACGTGGTCCTATCGGATCAATAAGTCCTCGTTACAAAACCTATAATAACGGTACAAACATATGTTCATGTCATGATTCTGCTACGTGTATTGAACAGCAATATGTTTATACTACCGATAATTCTAAGGTGCCAACATACAAAATACCTGGAATGGTTATCGGATGCTTTGGATTCGAAGCGATGTTACAAACAAACTTATTTTGTTTTTTCAATCAAACATGTATTGATGGTCTTCGTAAAGCGATCAATTTCCATAAAAATTTCAGTACTGAAGCTCTTAATTCATCAGAGCTGATCTATTTTGATGTCAATAGCACCATTGGAAGTATGATGGAGAAAGCAATGATAGAAAAATGGATTAGCCATGTTAATTATACGAATTATTACAATCAATGTCATCCGATCTATTGTAAGTACACATATGTGAAGCAAAATGATATAATATACGTATTTACAACATTGTTTGCTTTAATCGGTGGGCTTGCGAGTATATTTCAACTCTTGATTCCGCATTTTATCAAATTAGTGAGATACGTTATGCGCAAATGGCGACAAAGACGTGTTACAACGAGTCTCGAAAATTGATCATTTTATCATACAATTATTTCATGTTGATAGAAATAAATAAATGCTGCATTTGTAATGGTGTGAAACTGTATTTTCAATACGGATGGATGTGTGAATGAAAATCAAGAAAGACCAAAAACAGATCCATCCCTACTTTTTTCATAAGAGAGTACAAAAGACAACACTACAAGTACACCAGAGTAGAAATATGCTCTTGTTCTGTTCTATTCTTGAAAATTATAAAACTTATCATTTGTAAGGAAGTGAACAAAAGCTTCACTCATTTATTAAACTAGCTTTTTGTCAGTCGTAATAGTTTTTTTTCAGACTAGTTATCATTTGCGAGAGGTTTTGGACATTTCGTAACATCTGTTTTGATCTGTTTGGTAGTTTCTTACCATAAAATCTTCTTTACATCCACAACATGTAAAGGCACTCACAAATAACATCACATGGCTACATGAACTTATCATTTCGATATCTATTGCAACAAAGTGTTCATAATGGTCGCATTACTATTGAGTCGTTTCGATTGAGGAGCATTTTTTAAAAATTAAACGCATCGATGTCTTAAGAAGGAAACAGATCAAACAACACTCTTGGATTCAAGAGTTTATTCATATATAAATATTTTAACAAGACATTAAGTATACGGAAGAAAAATGCCTAGAAAATACTTCATGAATTGATTACAATACAACACCGAATATTTCAGATCAAAATCAAGTATAATTCACAATATTCTTACTGCCATTTTCATACATTGTTAAATGAAATTTTATATACAGGAAACAATTCATCTATCCGATTTGTTTTGCGTCTCCTAGAGGAGAGCCTTTCAAACAGCTAGTATTCACATTGTACCAACTGATCCATCTTTAATTTAAGTCAACTATGATTTATATAGTTTGTAAAGTCAATTGAAATCAATCGCAATAAACAGATGAAATTAAAGAAAAAGTCACGAATCAATTTGACAACAAAATTTATTACAACTCGTGTCTCTATATGTTAAGGTCGATTTATTCGCATATGAATATATTTTATACGCAAACAATAAAAGCAAATACACATGCGCATGTAATGAAAATCATACTTCCTCTTCCATTAACATTTCTCATCTGTGCTGCATTATTAGGTGTTGTTGTACTTACCGTCCGTGTTGTGTTATCAAGCGATATCTCGTTGTTAGGTAGCACCGTATTTCCAGTAGTCGAATTGAATTCGAGTTCTTTCTTATATCCGAACACTTCGAGTACATTATTCAGATTATATAATTCATTCATAACGATTTGATCGACGATCTTCATGCTGTTGCATTGGTTATATGAACAATGAAAATCGATAGTATAGTTGATCTCTCTGAAATCCATATCAAATATCAGTTGACTATTCCATTAACATCACGAATACACGCTTGATATTTTGATTGTTGATTATCTTTAGCTGTGGTAACGCTTGCCAAGCATCGTCCGTTGGAGCATTTCCGATAGATGTTTTCATCGACGAAACATTCCTCTAAACAGAAATGTAATCGTTGTAGCATATTCATTTCTTCTTATACGATCCTGTAACAATGTCAATTTCTGGTTCTTTTATTGATAACATACGTAAAACTGTGTTGTCTTTGAGAATTAAGTGAATTAACTTTTTCGATAAGTCAGTATAATGATCTTGAAGCACCGATCGAAGATACTTGTTAAGGAATTCAATTTCACATTTATCCTCATTACAGGCATATATAAGAGTGTGGACTGTGTATATCGTGGTATCTTCGGTTTGTTGTGTGATGAGGAACAAATTCACCTGTCCATTTTCTGACCTATGGTAATCGCAGGAGGTCAAGCAAAGAGATAAATAACCTGTAGTGTAATCTATCTCCATTTCCATATGACATAAATCATCGTTATCAGTATATTCTTTGACGTTCAAATTACGAAGGTCAGACAGCAAATCATCGATCTTGAAATTGCCATCCAACATCCTCATAAGAGGAGCTCCACCGTCAAAAGTGGCACAATAAAGACCAATAATAAAGTGCATATTTAGACGATAATATGCTCTTGAAAAACCTTTCTCCCATATCGATCATAATACCATGTTGTACACTCACACTAATAAAGCCTTCTTCGCTTTTAAAATAAAGGAATGATCGTGCTTTTTATTGTGAATAATTTTGAGTGTTCTAAATTGAATAGAATTTGAAATAAGAACTGTTTCGATTATATTCTGTTTCATCTATCTGTAAGAAAAATCTTATGGTTATCTCTTACTGTCAATATGATCTTTAGACTACGTGTGTTTATTAGCCGAATTCTTCTCCTATGTTTTACTTATTTATCGAGATACAGAGATGATCGTTGTTCAACATTATAGTCAGTTAATCATGTTGTCTTTTTTTTTCTCTTTCGGTAAATCCAAGAACTGTATGTCATCTCGGATTGTTACTTACAAATATTTTATATAAATAATTGGGGTCACGCAAATAGAATTTTTCCTATTCTGCATCGGCCCTCTCGTTCAAGGTGACTTTTGTCTATGCAAATATACCTTACAAAATCCACNTTCTATCGTTCCATAGTAAGTTCAGACGATGTTGAGAATGAATATCGACTTCGAAATCAACTGATTTCTACTCGACTATTCATCTGTTTGTTGATTTTCTCCGTAATCATTCTTCTTGTTTACACATCTCAAGTGCCAGTAACCTACACAGTGACGATCGATCAACCTACACTTGAAGATTATGCATCTCTTTATGAAAAACATTCAAACTCACTCATTTGTCCATGTACAAAAATCGCTATAGCTCAAGAAACGTTTATGACACTAACTCCGATATTTCATCAAGTTTGTCATAGTGATTTTGTCAAAAACAATTGGCTATCATATCTTAATGCTGCTTCTGTTTATCTGTTATCATCAGATTTTCGAGTTACTGGAGGTTTAATCTTTCAAATTCTCACTTCATTTTGTCAACTTGCTCAATATGCAATTAAAAGTAGTTTACCAAAATTTTATTCCACCCGATTTATCTCAAACGAACTAGTATATGAAGAATTATTGTATAATCAATCTAAATCATCTATCGATTTATACATAGCAGTTACTGCTGAACATTTTGCTTATTTATTCAACCTCATACGTGACATAGCTTTTGGGAATGGTCTGGTTTCGGGTTTACTTACTAACTTCGATTTTGAAATCACAGAATATATCCCGCTATTCTCCGGACACCGTGTAATATACAAATCAAAGATTTATAAACACATATACACATGTAACTGTTCTATTAATCCAACATGCATTTCTCCCGTAGGAATATATGACAGTATCACTGGTGACGTCTTGTTCGTCGTACCAGGACTTTATACCGGCTGTTTGTTGGTCGAAGCTGTCCGTCAATCGAATCTCCAATGTTTGTACAATCAAACATGCCTTGACCAAATCGATGTATTTCTTCAATCATCTGTACCTTTTTATGTTACACCTCTGAATACATCGATTCCCAGTCGTTACAATCTGACAACAAATGTTAGCCAAGTCTTAGAGAATCTTATGATTGAGTCATGGATAAAAAATATTTCCTACTCGTCGTACTATAGCGAATGCAAACCAAATCAATGTACTTATACGAAAATCGGAAAAAATAATGGTGTTTATATTGTCACGGCATTGCTCGGTCTTTTTGGTGGTCTCTACAAAACTCTTTATTTTCTCGTCCCGATTCTCCTAAAGATCATACGACGTCGACGAGGTAAGTTGATAGTTTGTTATTATCTTGATTCATTCGTTGACGGTTCGATTTGTATCTTAGTTCCTGAAGACAATGCACGCTTTACTGAGAAATTACAAAATTTTGCTAAGAAAATATCTGATTTTCTTCGAACATTGAATCTATTTCCATCATCACCACCATCAGCAGACGAATATCGATTAAAAACGCAAAGAATATCCACATTTACTTACATTATTATGCTATTAGCTAGCTTTTTCATTCTATTGATACATTCAGCGACACAAACTATCACTCACACCACAATTATCGACAGTCCATCCTTTAGTGAGTATCAAATATTGTATAACCAACAAGGAGAAAGGCTTTCATGTTCGTGTTCATCAATTACAAATGAATATGAAGACTTTTCATGGATTAAACCAATCTATCATCCAGTTTGTACCAGTGACTTTGTTGATGACGATTGGGTCAATTATGATGGTTCATTTCGAATGGATTTGACTTCGTATGACTTTCGTTATCAAGCTGCATTGATATTTCGTACACTGGCTTCATTTTGCACACTTGCTAATAATTTTGTTTCTAATTCGTTAATCACTTTCAATTCGACCGAAATAGTTTCAATTGATCTACTTTCGGAAAAGTTATTTCACGAAAAAGTTCAACATTTCTTTATGGAATTCATTCAATCTACAACAAAAGCGTTCTCTTATGACTTGAATTTCATTCGTTTAGTTATTCAATCCAATTTGATCATCTCCGGATTAAATACAGACTCTGTCAGTTACTTTCACGGAACATATCCAGCACTTGAATTAGGAGTGCAGTTATTACCCTATGCGACTGGTCGTTGTTTCTCATCAACAATGTGTTCAATGGAAGCACCAATATACTTTTACAATGGCACACACATTCTGACGATATTCACAATACCAGGATTTCATATTGGTTGTTACATTGACGATGCAGTACGGAAATCAACTTTAGAATGTTATTTCAATCAAACGTGTGTCGATTTAATGAAATTCCATCTTAATTATAGTAAATCATTCGAAACAAAATCTCTCAATTCGAATGATATTAAAACTCATAATGTAACAAGTACAGTCAATGAGCTTTTTAAAAACGTTATGGTTGAACAATGGTTATCGAATAAGTCCTATAAGAATTACTATGAAAAATGTCGTCCAATTTTATGTTCGTATGTGTTACAAATAAGAACACCTTTTATTGTCATTATCACTACCTTAATCGGATTTTTCGGAGGTTTAATCAAAGTCTTACGGATTATTGTGCCATTGGTTGTACGATCTTTGAGACATCGTCTACAAGTTCAAGATTCACAACTTCGTAAGGCTTTAAGAAAAATTAATTGTGAACAAATTTTGTTATTCATTATAGATTGGTCGAGTGTTCTACGACATCTCTTACAAAAAGCTATTCATAGTATAAGATATTTAAACTTATTTCGTTCAAACAACGTTGAGAATGGATATCAACTTCGAAATCAACTGATTTCTACTCGACTGTTCATCTGTTTGTTGATTTTCTCAATAATTATTCTTCTTGTTTACACATCTCAAGTGCCAGTAATCTACACAGTGACGATCGATCAACCCACACTTGAAGATTATGCATCTCTGTATGAAAAATATTCAAACACACTAATTTGTCCATGTACAACAATTGCCATAGCTCAAGAAACGTTTATGACACTAACTCCGATATTTCATCCAGTTTGTCACAGTATGTTTATCGATTCACGTTGGCGTACTGGTATCGCAAACGCAATACTACAAGTTGTTTATACATACAATCGAGACTTTCGTTTACGAGGTTTGTCATCATTCAGTGCACTCGCATCGGTCTGCTCTTTGGCTGAAATCGACATCTTCAATGCACTTCTGCATTTCAATTCGACTACATTCATTTCAAACACTCTTTTATCTAAAAGCACATTGATTGCACAAGCAAATGCCAATCTTGATTTGTACGTCACTTCAATGGCATACAGTTTTAGTCGTTCATTTGGAATTATTCGAGATACAATCCAAGGCAATGGTTTTATCTCATCAACATTATCTAGTATTACTCTTCGTTTTATCTTAAACAATAGAACAAATACAGATGGTTCTATCGGATCAATAAGTCCTCGTTACAAAACCTATAATAACGGTACAAACATATGTTCATGTCATGATTCTNTTATCTATTGTAATGTCAATAGCACCATTGGAAGTATGATGGTGAAAGCAATGATAGAAAAATGGATTAGCCATGTTAATTATACGAATTATTATGATCAATGTCATCCGATCTATTGTAAGTACACGTATGTAAAGCAAAATGATATAATATATATATTTACAAAATTGTTTGCTTTAATCGGTGGGCTTGCGAGTATATTTCAACTCTTGATTCCGTACTTTATCAAATTAGTGAGATACGTTATGCGCAAATGGCGACAACGACGTGTTGCAACGAGTCTCGAAAATTGATCATTTTATTATACAGTTATTTCATGTTGATAAAAATAAAGAAATGCTGCATTTGTAACAATGTGAAACAGAATTTTCAATACGGATGGATGTGTGAGTGAAAATCAAGAAAGACCAAAACAAATCCACTCCTTCTTTCATAAGAGAGTACAAAAAACAACACTAAAGCTACACCAAAGTAGAAATATGCTCTTGTTCTATTTTTGAAATTATAACATTCTATCGTTTTCAAATGTGATTTTTCTTGAAACAAAAAACTTTTTCGTTAAACTTAAAATAATCACTGTTTTTCCATACGCACTGTCTCGTCTAAGCAACAGTTTCAGTTTGTTACCAAAAATTCCAAACAAGAATTCACTGAATGCGGTGTACCGAATGACCATGGAATAGTAAGATGAACATTGCTAAACCAATCATCTGACGTATAGGTTTTTTCAGACTAGTTATCATTTACGAGAGATTTTTTGACATTTCGTAGTTTCTTACCATAAAATCTTCTTTTACATCCACAACATGTTAAGGCACACTGGTCGCATTACTATTGTCTTTTCGTTCGAGGAGCATCTTCTTTCTAATTAGACACATCGATGTCTTAACAAGGAAATAGATACAGACAATATTCTTGGATTCAAGAGTTTATCCATATATATATAATTTGACCAGAGATTAAGTATGTGGAAGAAAAATATCCAGAGAATACTTCATAAATTGATTACAATACAACACCGAACATTTCAGATCAAAATCAAGTATAGTTCACAATATTCTTATTGTCATTTTCATACATTACTAAATAAAATTTTGCGAACAGGAAACAATTCATCTGACTGATTTGTTTTGCTTCTCATAGAGAAGAACCTTTCAAACATCTATTATTAACACTGTACCGCCTGATCCATCTTTAATTTAAGTCACCTATGATTTACATAGTGTGTAAAGTCAATTGAAACCAATCGCAATAAACAGATGAAATTAAAGAAAAAGTCACGAATCAATCTGACAACAAAATTGATTACAACTGATGTCTCTGTATGGTAAGGTAGATTTATTAGCATATGAATATATTTTATACACAAACAATCAAAACAAATGCACATGCAATGAAAATTATACTTCCCTGCCCATTAATATTTCTCATCTGTGCTGCATTATTAGGCGTTGTTGTATTTACCGTCTGTGTTGTGTTATCAAGCGATGTCTCGTTGTCAAGTAGCATCGTATTTCCAGTAGTCGAACTGAATTCGAGTTCTTTTTTATATCCGAATACTTTGAGTATATTACTCAGATTATATAATTCATTCATAACGATTTGATCGACAATCTTCATGCTATTGCATTGATTGTATACACAATGAAAATCGATAGTATAGTTGATCTCTTTGAAATCCATATCAAAGATCAGTTGACTTCGAATTTCATTTGGTGACATTCCATTAACATCACGAATACACTTTTGATATCTTGATTGTTGATTATCTTTAACTGTGGTAACGCTTGCCAAACATCGTCCGTTGAAACATTCTTGATGGATGTTTTCATCGACGAAACATTCCTCTAAATAGAAATATAATCATTATAGCATATTCATTTCTTCTTATACAATCCTGTAAAAAATACTATGACGAAGATGGATTGATCGTTTGACATCCCTGACGAGGGAAATGATGTCAATTTCTAGTTTTTTTTATTGATAACTTACGTAAAACTGTGTTGTTTTCAAGAATTAAGTGAATTAACTTTTTCGATAAATCAGCATAATGATCTTGAAGCACCGATCGAAGATATTTGTTAAGGAATTCAATTTCACATTTATCTTCATTACAGGCATATATAAGAGTATGAATTGTGTATATCGTGGTATCTTCGGTTTGTTGTGTGGTGAGGAACAAATTCACCTGTCCATTTTCTGACTCATGGTAATCGCAGGAGGTCAAACAAAGAGATAAATAACCTGTAGTGTAATCTATTTCTATTTCTATACGACATAAATCATCGTCATCAGTATATTCTTTGACATTCAAATTACGAAGGTCAGACAGCAAATCATCGATCTTGAAATTGTTATCCAACATCCTCATAAGAGGAGCTTCACCATCAAAAGTAGTACAATAAAGACCAAAACTAGTTGTGTAAGTAATACAAAATACGACTAACGTTAAAAAACTGCATTTATGCAAATAAAAAAACTAATATATCGCCTATTTAAGCGATAATAGGCTCTTGAAAAAACTTTCTCCCATCTATCATAATACCGCGCTCTGCAATCACACTAATAAANAAGTAATACAAAATACGACTAACGTTAAAAACTGCATTTATGCAAATAAAAAAACTAATATATCGCCTATTTAAGCGATAATAGGCTCTTGAAAAAACTTTCTCCCATCTATCATAATACCGCGCTCTGCAATCACACTAATAAAGCCTTCTTCACTTCTAAAATAAATGAATGATCGTGCTTTTTATTGTGTATAGTTTTGAGTGTTCTCCTTGCCATTCCCTGTTTTACACTCATATTCTAAAACAATTTCTATGACATCATTATGGATTTGATTGTAGAGCAGCTGCGCTAGTTGAATGAACAAGAAAATCCTTTTTCTCATCAGGTCCTCCATGAGAGGATGAGCACGAAGGTTCGAATAGGCGATGCAGAAGAAAGTTCATCGCGCACTCTCATAAGAATCATAGAGTGGCACATATATTCAATAGACGAGAGGAAGGTATAGGAGGACATACAAATGTAAAGAATGATTATCTACTCTTTTTCAGAATAAGTATAAATGAGAATTCATATGGTTTTATGAAAGAATATAACTCAGGACATGTCAAGTTCAAGGTAAATATTGAATTATGTCCAATATGTACTTTTATCTGTACAACAAAATATTTAACAACAATCTAAAAGTAAATACTCGAAAAATTGATAAAAGAATCACATTTTCGTTAATGTTTCTGTGTCCAGGCGAGATATTTCTACAATCATCAATACCAATTTTAATTCTAGAAGAGAAAGAGATAGAAGAAAAAATAATACGGTTAAGAGTGCTGATGTCTTTTCACAGAGTAAAATGGGTGAAGAGAGAGAGAGAGAGAGAGAGAGAGAGAGAGAGAAAAGTGATTTATTTCTGTTCAATTCGATCGATAATCGCGCATAACTAAAGGAAATAATATAAATCGTCTTCATTTTATCCAAAAATCATCACATATAAGCGAGTAACCATGATCTATAATAAAACAATGATTTGCGTCCTAATTCTCGTATCATTGGAAACTGCAAATGCATCTCCCCACTAACGAATTGTGTTTATTTTCAAACTCTTTCTAATTATACGATTTGTGATGCCGCCAAATGTAGTAATGGTAATGGTGCACATCGCATCATTGTCTCGAACGTTGCATTGTTTCTGGTATCATTGCTTTTCATGTTCTAAGTTGAATAGAATTTGGAATAAGAACTACTTCGATTATATTCTGTTTCATCTATCTGTAGTTTGCTAGTGCTTAGTTTTCTTTTTTTTCCAGTAATCATTCTTTTAATCACGAATAAATATTTGATTTTAAAAAAGAAAAATCTCTTGATTATCTCTTACTGACAATATGATCTTTAGACTATGTGTGTTTAGCCGAATTCTCCTCTTATTTTTCACTTATTTATCGAGATACAAAGATGATCGTTGTTCAACATTATAGTCAGTTAATTATGTTGCCGTTTTTTCTCTTTCGGTAAATCCAAGAACTGTATGTCATCTCGGATTGTTACTTACAAATATTTTATATAAGTAAGTGGGGTCACATAAATAGATTTTTTCCTATTCTGCATTGACTCTCTCGTTCAAGGTGACTTTGGTGTACATTGCAGATGGCCGAATGAAATATTGACAAAAATCAAAGGTTCTACTGCTTTTTTTTCATAGGATTTTGATGAAAAGTAAAAGAAAAACGGAATGTTATTTTAAAGCTGGATTATTCTCCGCAAAATACTCATGATTATCCGCATTGTTCAGAGCCAAAGTCGGATTTTTCTTTGCTAAATTCTTTGCATCCGTTTGTCCATATGCATTATCTTTTGTTCCTGCCACGATTGTAAAATGCGATGTTTCGTGAACGAGTGTTCCTGCCTTTGAATCCGTACCAACTGTCGCGGATGTCCAAAATTCAGGACATAAGTGGATTTTATAAGGTATATTTGCATAGACAAAAGCAAAAGTATTCTTTTCTTGACAACTGCAATCAAATGACATTGGTTTCGAACTAAGAACAGAATTGATATTCGTAAAATGTGTTCTTAATGTCATGAGATTATTTAATGAATATGTTCCAAACCAGGTTGTGTAGCGTGATGAAGCTGGAAGAGTAAATTTTGTTAGATATTGAACACAATTTGAGGAATAACTTGCAGCTGATTTGATAGCAGAGATAATGGAAGTTTGTTGAGTTGATGAACAACTTGTGAAGGAATAGGTGGTTGATCGGGATTGAGACGCTAATTTTGATTGAATTTCATTGAGAATTGAATTGGAACGACCTTCAGCAAACAATTTGATAGGAGGAGATTCTAACGCTGATTCATCTAGAACATTCGATGAAGATAAACTTTCAATTTTCGATGAACTAGATGTTGATTTAATTTTTGCTTTAAATTGAATAACATAATTTCCAGTTTCTGTCATATTGTACACCGAAGATAATTGGACACGAGTACTCATCGTCTGCCCCGATCCAATTGAAATCATATCTTCCGTCTTGGGTGAACGTCGTTTTACAAGTGGACCAATATATTCAACAGATTTTCCATCACGAGTCACTTCAAATAGTGGATCAAATAATTGTTCAGTTGGTAAATACCATTTATAAATCAACATGGATTTTGAACCTTTGTTTTTATAATTTAGATTAATAGTTACATCTTGTTTTGTAGTAAAGCGAGAACTAATTGGAACAATGTTAACACTTAAATCTTCACAATGTAAGTAAGAGATCAGTATGACATTCACAATTATATGAATAACTATTCGAAGTTGTTGCATGATTGAAAAATTCTGAAGCGTATGACTCGGATCGTTAAAATTTATGCTTTTTTATAGGGTCATGAATGTGATTTTCGATATGCGTTGCCATGAAAAACAAAACAGAAAAATGTGTCAATAAAATCGAAAAACAAAATTCGATAGTTTCAACGTTGTTATAACGTGATCAATTTTTTTCGTTACTCATCGTGACCTTTTATGTCTGATTCAAATGATTCTTTTTTTCTCTCCATTATTCCATTAAGCATTTTGTTTACTTTTCATGATCTCGAGTGAAATGAAAGAGAAACATTTGCTTGAATAATGCTGTTTTTCTGTGTAAATATGAATAATGCGAATTATAGAAGAAAAACAACATTTAAACGAAATGAATTCCACGTAGGATACCTTCGGACAGGATTCGGCATTTTCTTGAGCCGATTCGTTTCAGCGTACGTTCCAATCCAACCAATACTGGTTCCAAATACAACTTGATGAGCTCTATCGGTTCCAAAAATAAAATATTTTCACCCTCACCCACACCCCACACCCTCACCCTCACCCTCGTTTTATGTTAATTATACAGTAGATGCAGAGAGATCGGAAAACTTGACTAATACATTTACATTAATTTGAATAAGAAAGCATTTGCTTGTATAAAGTATAAGTATTATCACGAGAGAAACATAATATTAGAATGTTATTCACGCGGATACAGATCTAATTAGGAGATAGATGCACGGAGTTTCTTGTATATATTGATAGACATCACAGAACAGCTTAGAATACCTCCTAAAAGATGTGTTTATAGAATTTGGTATAGATTTTATTTATCTGTAGTAGACGAAGAATATGTCTTTTAATAGAAAACAATGGAAAATCACATTTGGAAAGGAATGTTGTGCATAAATAAAGACCATCATTTGATATGTGCAAATCTGATTAGTGAAACTATATCATGTGAATTGTTGCGACCGGGTGTACCTGAAATCTATTCAAACGACAAACAATTTTGTTTTATGTTCCTGTTAAACTACGCAGTAAGGACTTCGAGAAAAGCATGCATTATCATCATTTTACCGTTCGCCAACTCTTCTGTGTATGAAAGGAATATCATCAATTTTGTACTACGATTAAACAAATTTTTACAGCTGAATGAAGCGTTTTCTCTGTGTCATGAACACATGATTTCTGATATGTTTGTTCGAAAGAACTCATTTATGTATATCCCATGTAACTTTGAACCATAGACTAAACGCACCTGAAATGAGAAACTCTTCCACTGTTCGTTCAACACTACCTTTTGTGACCTGTTCTCAATCCCATTCTTGAAAAGGATGGAAAAGTTTTATGCTCTAGTGTCATTCGTGGAACAATCTAAACGTATATATAAAAATTGAAGAGATGACCATCATCAACACATCTGGGGACGTGACTGATAAACGCATCTAGTCATGTTTGATGCATTTACGCTCAAAAATTTCACACAGCACGTGATAAAGAGACAATCATACTTTTTCCGTGTATTATCTTGGTGTAATTATCTATACTATTCGAGTCCTCTCTCTCTCTCTCTTTATCTAATATAAATAAACGTAAGTCTGAGAGAAGATAATAATGAATATTTCTAGTTATTCTACGTTAAAATCTATTTAGAAATAGATCGGAAGAGCACGTGTACCCGCACAATAATAATTCAGTTGGACTTTGACTGAATTCGAGAGATTTCTATTAAAAAGCTTCTACACTCTTTTTGGCAAAGAATATTTTCCTCATATGGCAAATTCAATTCAGACCGGTCAATATGATATGAATGATATATTCGCAATATACGAATTAGCAATTCCTCGTTCGGTTCGATTTTGGTGGTACCTTATTTTGAATATTTGTTCATTGATATGCTCCTTATCTGTTTTGTATCAACTCTTGTTCCATCGAAAACTTCGACAGGCATTGAACAATCATGTTATTATTGTTTTACTCTTTGTTGGATTGATCTATGAATCATTAAGTGTTCCATTTATGCTTCATTTTTATCGTGTTGGATACTCGTGGAACATAACAACCAGTTTTGGTCATTTTTGGCAATTCATGGATTATACAAGTTATACAATATCTTTAGTAGGCTTTGCGTGGGCTACTATTGAGCGACATATTCTCATATTTCATCAACAATGGATTGCAACAAGGAGACAACGTTTTTTCGTTCATTATTTACCTATTATGGCAATTGTAGTATATTCTATCATGTATTGGTTTCTATTAATCTTCTTTCCAGCATGTGAAGATCGAATTTTTCTGCAACCAATGAATGGAGTTCCTGCACCATGTATGGCTTATCAATTATTCTGGGGAAAGTGGAATACAGTGTGCCATCTAATTCTGCCAACGTTTATCATAACTATTTTCAGCAGCGCTCTTCTCTTTCGAATTCTTTGGCAAAAAACTCGTTTGAATCGATCAATCCAATGGCGACAGAATCGAAAAATGACCATTCAATTAGTGCTTATTTCGCTCCTTTATCTTTTCTTCAATCTTCCTCGTTCAATTCTAATCAGTGTCACAGTTGATGGTAGATCATTATATTTAATCATTCAATTGCTTATGCATCTTGCCTTTTTTGCTGTTCAATTAATATTCTTTTTGCCATTCATTTGTTATATGACAATACCTGGATCTGGAAAGAGATTGAAGAAACTTCTTTTGCTGAAAAGTGGTCGAAACATGATTTGGCCCATCGGTGTAACAGCAGGACGTGAGAACAACAACCAAACGGGTCAAAAAGAGACTCACATGACTTGACATTTTTCTTTTTGTCTTTTTTCTCGAATCAAAAATAAAAACAAATATTTTATTAAGAGTTGATCAAAAGTTTTAAGTCTTATTGTTTTTTTTATCAACTGTAGAATATCGTTGATTGTCAAATGCATGAAAAGTTGTATTCCAACTTATATTTAAAGAAATAAAATGATCGCAAGAGAAGAAAAGAGATATTATTGGACAATTTCGCGATTGAATAAAGATTAACAGCGAAGGGTGACACCAACGATGCTGTAAATATAATTTCCGATAACAACGTTTAGAGTGTTGTTGTTCTCAACATCGGTTATATCGAATGAATATGAATCAACAGCAAGGTTAGAACTATTGTTACCATCAAGATCAGCAACTGACACAGTCGATTAATTCGATTGAAAATGCATTCGAACCAATTCCATAGCTAGACGAAAAGAAAAATGTATCATTATCTTTATTTAAGTATCAACCAAGAGTACACGTAGAATAAACTACATAAAGAATGACAGATCCTAGCAGAGCCAATGTTTACTATGAGAATCTCGAAGTGATTGTCGCCGTTTATGTCTTTCACGATTATATCGTTTGTATATGAGTACCTGTCAAATAATTTGTCTGATAACTGTGAATTTCACGAACATATATGAAAAACAAGCTAAAAATAGCAATCGTCATTGGACTTTTTGAGAGGAGTTTAGTTATCTCATGATTACTTGAATACAAATCGACAGTTTCGATTCATTATTGTTCATTCATCAAATCTATTATTTTCCTTCATTACTATCGACATACTCATTAACAATTAGAATTCAAGTGCTATCGATGTTCACTACCAGATTGTTCATTTCATTTCTTAGATCACCAAACAATTGACAGTTCGAAATTCATTGATGATGATTGAGAGTTAATATTTGCATCAATCGAATATGTTGTGCACTGGAATGAAAAAGAAAAGTGAAAATGAAATGATGAATATGTTGAACTCTTCTCTCGCTTTTCTTTTAGTTTTGTTCCATTAAGTAATGAAGAGATTCAATAAACTCTCGTTTGATGTTCCTTTTTCATATTCCCATAGTGAAAAACAATGGTAACAACGAAGAGAAATATGTGACGATTCACATTCTCCATACGATGTTTCACTCTTTTTCTAGTATTTCTTATACAATCAAGAGGTGTTTGAGAATAAGTTACTTAAAAAACTAGGCTAAGAAAACCTTAAAATCTATGAAGTGTACAAAATACTCATACTGGATAGAATCCAACATTCAGTGTTCTCAATCTGTTTTTATTTAGTTCATTGTATAACTGAAAACGTAAAATCCGAACAGTCACTCTATTGTCACGTCATAGAGACCAATGTTACGTAAAAATGAACTAAGCTACAATGTGTGATTGCTTTGAAACGATCAACTTAAATACAATTCATTCAATACAAAACTCTCTGGTTATAGAAAGTATTTCACGATTTCTATCAGTATCAAGCCGATAGACAAGAGTAGATATGTTCTCATTGTCATCGTCCAGATATTATAATTGAACAAGTGATTTTTCAACACCTTGGGAATAATGAGGAAATTCTTTCACTCAAATAAGAGCATATCGCGAACGACAAAATACAGATGAATCACAAGAAAAACGTCAGCTGATCAATATTATTCGAACAACATCGAAGAATTTCGCTTTCAATAAGCAAACAGAAGAAAAACTTTCATTAACATTATTGGAAAGATTTTTCTTCGATTACTCATTGTTAGTTTCATATGACATTTGAATGAATACTTTCTTTCTAGCATTATGAGGTCATTGTTCTCGAAAATACATATGCGTCTGACTATTGAAATAACGTTTGTCACGTCAAGTTACTTATACGATGACAATTTAGACATAAACAACTATTAAATATCGCCTATGAGTTTACCTTTTTGACTGTCCATTTGTATTCTTTTGTATCTTTATAAAAGAAAGCAACTTAAATATATTTCTCTCTCACCTGTGATTTACGAAATATCAAAACATGCTTCGCTGCACTATAATTTACTGTTTTGTTTTCATCCACATTCGCAGTACGATTATTTTATTTTGTCTCGTTTAGGATTGTTTACTCGTTTTTCAAGGATTGATTCAAAGAATCTTAATATGTTAATATCTAAATCAGTGACCGTTGTCAACGAAACTCATCTTCCCTTGCCAGAAATCAAAGATAAATCAGTAGTTCTCATTGAGATCTCTAACAACAATATAAGTTCTTTATTTCAAATTCGAACCCGAACTTATTGCGTTTTACTACTCATCACCGTAGCACTTTCAATTGTCAGATTTGCCATTGGTCAATCCTATATCGATCAATGTCCAATAGAACCACATGTACCGATTTCTCTTTGGATCAGTGGTGTAATTGGCATCATTACTTTCTTACTTAGTGGATTACTGATTGTATCGCCTGGTTTTGTTGGACCATCAGAATTGAAAATAGAAAATAATGAAGTTGTCGTTGAAACACCCTTACTCACTCGCATTTTTAGTATATTAGTTGCACTTCTCAATGTGACTCTCGTTGTTTGGTTAATTTACGGTACATATTTAACCTACAGTGTGTATAATCGCATTCATCGAAGTAAAAAGATAAAACATCAATTTTATTGTGATGAAACACTTTACAAATACAATACGGTTTTATTGGTAGGAAGTTTTGTTATAACCATTGCACAATGTTATTATACAGCAATGCGTTTGCAAAGATTATCGACTTTTTGTATCCTTTTAGCGGCAAAGACGAATTGTAGAGTATTTTTGTAAATACGCGTCTAACTGTTCATTTTTCTTGTCTATGTATTCTTCTGAAGAAAACGATTTTTCTTTATACATCATAGATATGCTCGTTAAATAAGTGTTCACCTGTTGATTCAATATGCTTTACATATCAGAGATGTCCACAGGAGCAGGGCAGGGCAAAACAGAACAGGACGGACAGGACATGAAAGAAGAATGCGCCCTGTAGACGCCCCTCGATTTGTGTATACTATTTAGAACTTCGTCTAATCATAGATCCTTCCCGCGATAACTTGATGTAAAAGTTCATGTGGAGAAGAGCAACATGAGCGTTAGATACATGTTTTCATCAATCGAATAGTGAATCACTTTTATGAGGAATATTAAAGAGAAAAATTGAAAAAGTAGCAGATGCTAGTTTTAGAGAAAAAAAGTCAGTTTATATTAACCAAAATTCGATTGAAAATAAAACGAATTGAATGATGCTTATTCTTCGTTGATGACGGTGAGGGTATCTTTTCTATACCCGTCCACGCCTACCCTTACACATTCAAGATGGCTTTTCTAATCTGACTAAAGCAAATCAATTAATCTGTAATAAATTCGTACAAGAAGGCAATAATAAACATTCTATATTCGAACTGATGTTGTGTGATTTTTCAGTTTGAATCGATTACCGTAGACAATCTTTGTCGTTTTGAGTGACGAAAAGAAATTCGCTGATAAATCAAGATGTCTAATCATCGTTCCATTGAAAGCTAACGGATAAATCGATTCAATATGATTTGAATTCAAATCAACGAAATCAAGTTCATCCAAAATCTTAATCCGGTTACAACAAAATTCCAAAGTAAGCATATGCAAGGATTGATTAAATGGAGATAAAAACGATTTGACTTCATTGTGAATGTTAACAGTTTCTAATGAATTCAGATGATCATCATTTGACACTAAATCATCCCGAGAAATGCATCGAGGAAGGACAGATCGATTCGATTGACGTGAATTAGATTTGTGAAGATCGCTTACTTCGATGAAATTCCCTTATAAATCGATATCGGTTAATTCAGTAAACTTGAGTAATTTATTCAATGACAAATCGAATTTTTCGAAGGAATTCGAGGTGAGACTTTGAATGAGAGAATGAAAATTTGACTATGAACATTGAGTTATTTCAACTTCATGTCATTCGAAACAATGGTGATCAACTTGAAATCAATTGAATTTCTTTCGAATTTGTTATACTGATCTTGCGCACAACCGTGCTATTCAATACTTTTAAATTTAATTAATACAGAAGATGATCATATTGTATATTATCAATCCTATTGATAAATGTGAATTTGAAATGGTTCAATGTGAAAAACGTTGATGCAAGATTTGTAAATATGTCACATGTTGAACGCGTAAAGTTATTCGAGTTAAATTTATAAAGTCGAAATCTAAATGATGAAAATGTTGATCAAACAGTGACAGTTTCATTACTTGTAATATTCTGGAACAATGAAAAGAAAGAATTTGACTAGAAGCATCGATGTACATAGAAATTGTTATGTTGCCACAGTCTCTTTACTTTTTATCTATTTATTTTACTTGTGACATTGAAAAAATTGTGAGGAAGAATATCAATAGTCTTTGATTTCTTATTGTGTTATACTTTGAAGAAATTCCCATCGTCTCATGTTTATTTATTTAATTCCACACTCAACCTGAATATAGTATACGGTTGATTATTTACTAATGAAAAATGATACTATCGTTGCATGAGAAATCTTTGATAGAAATAAGGCCATTGAAATAGAATTCTGCTCGTAAGATGTAAATGTTGAGAAGTGTAGAAGTTCATTGATTCTAAAGACGTATGAATAATAGGCATATAAGAAAATTCTTTGCAAGGGACTTACGCAAAGCGGAATCTGACCGTGTACCATCAAACCATCCTGCACTCTTCACATATGGATTACCAACAAGACAAAGATATTCCTGAACATTGCTGTATCGTTCAGGAATTTGTTTATTGGCAGTGTCTCTTTGAACATTTAATGCAACGTATTTTAAAACAGTGTCAATATCAACATTGGGCATCCTTAAGTAGTGAAGTAAATAATAAGTATAAAGACTGTTTCGACCGTTGTTTGCTAATGCATTAAAGGTTGATCCTAGACTGCATGAATAGGCGATGACTGTTGATGGTGGCGGACGTATTGGGGCAAGACCTTGCGTTAATCCAAGTGGTTCTCTGTCAAAGAAAGGTGTCAAAGTTATTATTGATTGAGGAGGACGATAGCAATCAAGTATAACTATTATTGCTCGAGGACTTTTATTAACTATATTCCCAATGTATTGGTCTATGTTTAAGGAGAGTTCTTTTACAGTGTCTGTATTAACTACATGATTGTTTGTTGGCATTAGATAGGTATTGCCATCGTACTGAACAGCAAGACCAGAGAAATACAATAGTACAATTGAATTCGCTTGGATGGATTGTAAGAATCTGTTCGTTCGTTCTAACAAATCGATGGTGTTGAGATTGACAGCAGAATGCGTCAAAAATCCAATAGAACGTAATAAATAAGACATATCACTTGCATCATGTACAGATGAACTTCTGGCTTGATGTACATAGGCACTATTACCAATAACTAAAGCTTGTTTTTGGAACATGGTTCGAGTTGATAAAAACGAAGGTGTAGAGAGATTAGCTAAAACGAAAAAACAATTTTCGAAGGTTTAGCGTTGCAGAAACAACATAGAAAAAAAGTGAATAAGATTCATTAAAACAGATGCTATGGATTTCTATATCTACTAGTCAGGTAGATTTATTGTCAGATTTGACTAAACGAAAAATACTAATGGGAATATTTCGTTGATATTTATACGCCAAATTAATCAAATATCATACAGGTATGTTTGAATTGGTTTCTTTACAAAATATTACATCACGAAAAATAGCTGAAAGAAAACCATCCACGCGAAACAGCATTAAAAATAAAGAGAGATGCTCAACTAACCTACGCAAACATAATTTTTCTCTCGTTTCATGATTCAAATCAGGAAGTGCAAAACAATACGTATACGTTGTTTCACGGAGTGGAAACGATCTTTTTAATCTGATAACAAATGTAAATTACGTTGAAAAAATTGTCATATAACTCTTAAAGGTAGTAGTATTTCGTAAGGTGCGTAGTGGACAGGTAAATGCCAATTATTTTTTAATTATATAATTATTCATGCTGTTTTGGTTTATGACGCAAAAAATATCAATGCATCACTGACTTTTTAACTGTAGTCAAAGATTATTTTTCTCACCACAGCTATTTTCACTTCCTCTACGTTGAAAAACTACTATTGAGCTTCTCTGTAGCCAATCATTTTTGACAAAATCCTTGTTCGATGATTGCTTATCGAAAATTGAATAGTACTAATAATTCATCATCAATCAGATGACAACGAATATGAGAAAAATTCAACGAAGACGTTAGTAATAATCACATCGTTTTCTCTCTTTTAGTTGCATTGACGCATTTGTAACTGTTATTCTCAATATGCTCTATAAACAAGCTTTACTCATTGGTAATGATCAATATTCGGGTGAAAATGCTCGTTTAAAATCATGTGTGTACGATACCAAGACCATGACTAATTCATTACGATCTATTGGTTTTCATACGACACCTGCCATAGACCTACGTAACGACGAAATGGAACAGATTACAGATCGATTTACTGCCTCTATACAAGAGGGTGCTATCGCTCTTTTCTACTTCTCTGGTCATGGTGCTCAACTGAATGGAAAAAACTTACTACTGTCCATAGATTCCGACGGGCTTACTGGTCTTAATGCTCAGATTTTACTCCAAAAGATGCATCAAAGAAAGCCACGAGTGATCATTTTCGTACTGGATTGTTGCCGTAGCCGTATAGAAATTCCGTATACATTGCTGAGAGGTGCACTTTTTGATCAACGACCGAGATTGAGAGATGGTCTTGCGGCTATGGGAGGACCACCATCGACAATCATCGCTTTTTCCTGTGCAGCAGATTCCACATCGTTGGCATCTTCGTCAGATCGTCCAAACAGCATATATACACATCATCTACTTAAATATATTACGACACCAAATGTCGATATTGACATTCTACTAAAATATACGGCCATGGATGTTCAACGAGACTCATTGAACAAACAACTGCCATTTATTTATTCAAATTGTAATGAATCTATTTGTCTCAATAGTAATCCATGGCCTATGATGTCTGTTTGGCCCGGTGTCAATCAATTTAATCCTTTAGCGGGTAAGTTACCGTTTAAATACCATTTGTATAGTTAATTTTTCGAATTTGTTCAGTAAAATCGATTCAATACCCAAATTGGGATCAGCATGTCAATCACACGGCCAGGCTTCAAACGGGAATTCTTCCATCGTATTACGCTACATATTACAGATTGGGAAATTATCAGTATCCAGTGTTTGGTAATTCGTGGTATGACATGATGCGATTTTCCTATTCACTTCCGCGATACTAAACCACACATTTAAGCAACAGCTGCAGCAATGTGGAAATAATCTAGAAAATTTTTAATCATTGTTTTCTTCCATCGAAATAAATTTCAGAGTGAAAATGTGAGCGCGTTTTCTTTGCATACGACTGCAGAGGAGAATGATTTTTAAAACGAGTAGTATAACAACAACGAAAACAATAGGAAAATGAATATATTTCCAATATCTATGTCTATCAAAAAGGAAGAAAGGACGATCTTGACGAAGGACATTGAAATGAATAGAATTCACATGTATATCCAATTATAATTCATCTTCATACTAATTATTACATAGATTTTATAACGAATTCAAAAAATAAAATTATAATCCACGTGGGAAGAGCCTGTGTCTGTATAGTTCGAAGTCCAGCTGAATGCTAGTGGAGATGATGAGAAAAGTTGCACAGTAGTATACATATTAATTGTAAATTACAGACAGAAGAGTAACCCATAACGTAACTATAAACTATTATCAGGATGTGGATATCGATTTACATTCTACTGTGATCATCAGCTGCATGTTTTTCATCCTCACTCAAATCTTACTATGTGATTTACATTCGAGAATCATAAATACCAACAAAAAGAAAAGAAGTGTCAATATGTACAAGTCAACTGCGAAGGAGAGAAAAAGCAAACTTCTACTACGTGTTTTGATATACATCATGCACACGATGGTTTGAGACCTTGGATTTTTTTTTGTTCTTGTACCGAGATATGTTTTTCTTGGCATACGTCATTGTTCTTATTTCTTTCTTCTCCCTATGACGACGATTATAAGAAGAAAACCATGCGCTGGCCACTGTCTGATGTATCATACTATTTCGTATATGATATGGTTTTCCTCCTATTTTACATGCGTAATACTTTTTCTATCCTATATAAAGCTTAGTATATATCTTCTTTTATGCGTATGAACGCTTTTGATGCTGTAGTTTTCTCGTTATTTTACTGTGATACACATAGGTTCTCGGCATTAGTGTGCGATTGTGTCTTCTCAACCACTCTATAAACAATACGAGGATTAAAATGGACTAAACTATGGCCGATCGCATTATCGTTTTTCTGTAAACTATATAAAATTTTTACCCCTTTAGTTTGAGTGAATGCGACAGACATAGCAACATTTTGAAATATATATTTCACCTAACCCAAGTATTCCACCTTGAGAATTAAAAGAGCGTCTAGTCATAGTCATTTTAACTATAGAATGAAGACTTGCTCAGGAATCATCACACTTCAATGACATGATTTTATTTCTTTTCAGCGACAAACAACTAAACACCACTGCCCGTGCGATGGAAACGCTCGAAGCACGTTTATTTCACATACTCGAAACGAATCCTGATTCTGACGAGATCCTGAAACTAATTGAACAAGGCGTCGATTGTAATTTATCTAAATTCGATTCAAATACCGACGGTTTTATCTCACCTATTGAGTTAGCAGAGAAACAACATGCGCATCGTGCACTATGTTATCTTTATGAACATCGCAATAGCCCCACCAAAGCGCAACTAGAAAAACATCTGGTATTTTATATCAATCACTACGATTTACTTCAAGAGGAAAAGAATCAATTAGCTCTGGAATACATTGTCAGCCATCTTCTTCACAAAGATATTCTTGAATTTTATCCAGAACACTTTTTAATTTTTATCAACGCTCTCAACAATATCGATGGTGCCACACGACGTGGAATAGATTTAAGTGGCGGGATTACATACAGCATTGTTCTTTCAGTGCGTATTTTCACTCTGGTTCGGTATATCGTCAAAATGCATACGGATTTCCCGTTAATTCTTGACTGCGAAAAACTAACGGTTGCTGAAAATGAACTTCTTCATACTTTAGAAGCATACTATTATTTGTATGATGTTGATAAAATTCCAGGACCAATACCGGAAAATTTGGATATAGATGAGATAAATAAGAATCAATCATCACCACTTATAGAAAATTATCAATGCATTGCAAACAATATCATCAAGAAGATAAAGCAACTTGACCTAAATCAAGAATATACCATCCTTACTGGTTGGAACGCGCATGCGGTATGCATTTCCTTTCGGAGTATTAGCCCAGACCACATTTATATTAGAGTTGATAATCCTAGCCACGAAAATCCACCAGGCAAGCATAGCACCTCAACTGTTGCGGGAAAAAATTATCTAGCAATCGAACCAAAAATACTTGGCCGATTGAAAAAAAGTGATTTGGATTTTAATTTGAATTATTTCATTTTACTGATCGATAGCTGTGCACGGGAACTAGAAGAGAATGATGGCATTTCGCTAATTTATAATGAAAAAGATCAAATTGTTCATCTCGATAGAGAAAACATTGAGAGTATACCGTACTTCGATGAGCAAGCGGAAAACAATTGTGCTGTCAAAAGCTGGGAAATTGGTTTTCGTATGCGCCTCCAAGAAAGTCGAAAGGAATTTTGCGAAAGTTTATTGTCATTCGATCAAGATAACGCATATAATCTTTCAAAACGTTCTAAAGACAAGCGTCAGAGTGACCCGGTCAGCACGCTTTATCGTTTCGCTTCATTAGCCAAGATTGACGACGGAAAAAAATTGTCAATCGAGCACATTAGGCAGCTTCAGAACGGACTCAGAAAGTCTTATGAACGGCATTTACAACACCTTTCAAGTATCTTGGTTAGTGGAAGTTTCCAATCTACAACAGAGGCATATATTCCTTTAACATTCGAGGAAGATGGTACACCAATCGATCTAGTTAGTTTCTTCGCTAACACTCGTGTTTTAGTACTTGGTGAAGTCGGTAGTGGTAAGACAACAGCTTGTCAACATGTGACATATTTATGGGCTTGTGAGGAGATATGGCAAAATAAATTCAAATGGTTATTTCATATTAAAATGCGAAACTTGAATTCTAAACGTTATCCGCCCATGCAACACACCGGCTATTCGTTGGTCGATATTATCGAAAAGGAATGTTTTTTGGAATACGCGCTTAGTGGCTTAGGTAAACTTGAATTGAACTCTCAATTAGCCAACTCGTCAAATATCCTTTGGGTTCTTGACGGATTAGATGAGCGAACAATTCCAGATCATTTGCATTCGATCGAAGAAGAATTATTAGCAAAACCACATTTACTTTTGACATCTCGGCCATGTGAATCCTATGATTTTGAGTATGATATCTGTGCCCATGTTCAAAGTTTCACAGATCAAGATATTCAGAATTATATAAACAAACACTTTTCTATTATGTTTCGAACAACAGCAAATCAATGTTGGTCATTTATTCACAAATCTGAACAACTATTAGAAACCGCACGCATTCCTACGTGTTTGGAAGTTATCTGTCATTTATGGGACAATGGAAAAGTAAAGTTGAATTCTGAAGCAACAATGGGACAACTCTATCAAAAAATGTGCGAATATTTACTGCGGCGATATCTACTCAAATTTCACGGCCTGTGCACATCCGCTCTTGTTGGTCGAAATATTTATCAAGAAGCGAATGCTAAAGCTTTCACTCATTTGGAACGTCTAGCCTTTCAAGCTACAAAATCACACCAACTTACAATCAGTAGAGAAGAAATAATAGATGTCGCAGATTCACTATCCTCTTCTATACTACAAATTGGTCTACTGGTACCTCAAACACAAAATTATTCGTCTTTGCTTCTCGAAAATAGCTACTATTTTATTCATCGAAGTTTTCAAGAATATCTCTGTGCTCGTTATATGATCAAGGTGTTAGAATCAGATGGTTTACATGAGCAAAAAACGGAAGTCATTCGCTTTATAAGCCATGAAAAATACAATCGTCGCATACAGAACGTGTTCCGTCTATTCTTTGAATTAGAACGTTCTACATCTTGTACCAATCAGTTTTGGTCCATTGTCGACAGCGAACCACGAGATCTGCTTGGCCTTCGACATTGCGCTCGTATTTTTCATTGGTTTCCTAAAGGAAGTTCTCGCTTCTCTAAAGAAGACCGAAAGAATATCAGGAAAAGAACCACCGAGGTCATACGCACATGGATATCGAATCAAGATCGTTTACCACACGATACCAGCAACACATACATATTCGAATCATTCGCCGATGCAACAGGTCGTCGATGCTGGCTGGATGGATGGAGACAAGACCTCTTTATCAAAGATCCGTTGAAACGACACTATTTGTTACATGACTTATGGTCGATGGAAAATATTAATGCACTTAAAACAGTTTATGATGACATTTTGGGGAATTTACATAAACTGCATAGTCTTATTACGACAGGTCCGAACACAAGAAGTCTCAAATTGCTCAACCTTAAAGACAATTTATTCAATTTGTACACAGCTGATAATCAAATAAAGACACCAGAGTTATTGAAAAAAGCACAAGAACAAACCAGAAAACACGAGTCGGTTACTACTGTAATTGAATTTCAAGCTCTGTTAGAAAACTATCAATCTTTCGCGAATTTAAATCGTCAATCAATGGCACTCGGTTCGATCATTTGGAGTTTGAACGTCGATCCATCTGCGTTGATCAATGTCAATAATGATATGTTAGTTCGCCTTTTACACATAATTCAAAAAGATGAACTCTTTTTTCGCTACTTTAAACTACCAACGATTCATTTTCTTCGGCTCTATGCAACTCAAAACAACTTAAATGAAGACATTCTCTGTTCACTCATTGTTTTATGTGCAGCATCAAGTGATTGCATCTTTACTGCGCTATCTGGTCGAAAAAAACTTATTCGAATATTTGAAAATGACATATTCACTGATATCGAAATGGATGAATGTCGACTAATTCGACTCCTCAACGAATTTGATAAAGCTCGTAATGTGTATGGATATTCGTCTTTTTNAATCTTTCCTCTTCTGCATCGGCCCTCTCGTTCAAGGTGACTTTTGTATACATTGCAGATGACCGAATGAAATATCGACAAAAATCGAAGGTTCTACTGCTTTTTTTTATAGGATTTTCATGAAAAGTAAAAGATAAGCGAAATGTTATTTTAAAGCTGGATTATTCTCCGCAAAGTACTCATGATTATCCGCATTGTTCAGAGCCAAAGTCGGATTTTTCTTTGCTAAATTCTTTGCATCCGTTTGTCCATATGCATTATCTTTTGTTCCTGCTACGATTGTAAAATGCGATGTTTCGTGAACGAGTGTTCCTGCCTTTGAATCCGTACCAACTGTCGCGGATGTCCAAAATTCAGGACATAAGTGGATTTTGTAAGGTATATTTGCATAGACAAAAGCAAAAGTATTCTTTTCTCGACAACTGCAATCAAATGACATTGGTTTCGAACTAAGAACAGAATTGATATTCGTAAAATGTGTTCTTAATGTCATCAGGTTATTTAATGAATATGTTCCAAACCAAGTTGTGTAGCGTGATGAAGCCGGAAGAGTAAATTTTGTTAGATATTGAACGCAATTTGAGGAATAACTTGCAGCTGATTTGATAGCAGAGATAATGGAAGTTTGTTGAGTTGATGAACAACTCGTGAACGAATAGGTTGTTGATCGGGATTGAGACGCTAATTTTGATTGAATTTCATTGAGAATTGAATTGGAACGACCTTCAGCAAACAATTTGACGGGAGGAGATTCTAACGCTGATTCATCTAGAACATTCGATGAAGATAAGCTTTCAATTTTCGATGAACTAGTTGTTGATTTAATTTTTGCTTTAAATTGAATAACATAATTTCCAGTTTCTGTCATATTGTATACCGAAGATAATTGGACACGAGTGCTCATCGTCTGCCCCGCTCCAATTGAAATCATATCTTCCGTCTTGGGTGAACGTCGTTTTACAAGTGGACCAATATATTCAACAGAATTTCCATCGCGAGTGACTTCGAATAGTGGATCAAATAATTGTTCAGTTGGTAAATACCATTTATAAATCAACATGGACTTTGAACCTTTGTTTTTATAATTTAGATTAATAGTTACATCTTGTTTTTTGGCAAAGCGAGAACTAATTGGAACAATGTTAACACTTAAATCTTCACAATATACGTAAGAGATCAGTATGACATTCACAATTATGTGAATAACTAGTCGAAGTTGTCGCATGATTGAAAAGTTCTGAAGCGTATGACTCGGATGGTTAAAATTTATGCTTTTTTATAGGCGGGTCATCATGTGATTTTCGATATGCGTTGCCATGAAAAACAAAATTCGATAGTTTCAGCGTTGTTATGACGCGATCAATTTTTTTCGTTACTCATCGTGACCTTTTATGTCTGACTCAAACGGTTCTTTTTTCCCTCCAATTCCATTAAGAATTTTGTTTATTTTTCATGATCTTGAGTGAAATGAAAGAGAAATATTTGCTTGAATAATTCTGTTTTTCTGTGTAAATATGAATAATGTGAGTTATAGAAGAAAAACAACATTAACACGAAATGAATTCCATGGTTATGATCAAAAATTAACGATAGAAAAGAACCACCATATATTAAAAAGGTTATGCCCATTGATATCGATTAGATTTACTGAAATTGGTTAGTTACCAACTGATACAGTCGACTGAGAACGATATTTACCATTATCTTTATAAAAACAAATACTCTCACCATCGAAATGTTGATTTATTGTAACAATGTCGAGCAGACCATCGTTATTTTCTATCTCCTATGATCAAATAATTCACAACTAGAATCATTGTTTTCGACTTAAACATCTAAAATAGCAATCAAAGATATCCAATAGAGCGATATGAACAAATGACAAATAAGTTGTATTCGTACAGTACAGAACAAAAAAGAAAAGTGCATAGAGATTCTTTTATATGAACACATGTCGTCTAACTTGATACGCATACAGAAGGAAAAACACAATAACTCTTATTTCCTTATCCACAGTCACAAAACTAAACAAGAAACGCTTTAAAGTAGCTCTCGTCGTAATTAGTTCGGAAGAAAGAATGTCAAATACTTTTACAAAATGGAATATGATACTTGATATTAATCATGACGATTATCTTATGAAGTTCACTAAACTTGTGACGTGTGATATTTTGAGCCCATCAGATTCTTCTTGCTTAGAATATCTCTATAATCACACGATATAAATCGATCGAATGAAGTTAATTCAATACAAAATCTCAATTGCCATCAAAAATATCTCATAAGATTTCAATAAATTTTTTTTCTTTGGTGTGCGGTTGTACGACGTTCCTAATTAATCGTATTGGAAAAAAATATATGATTTAACATCTAGTTTTGATATCGCTGTCTAGACATTCATTGAAGAGCAAACTATTCGACTCTGACTATGATTCAGTATTATCATTCAATCATGTTAGTCAACTTTATATTAATTCTTTTGGATCAACGTTGAATGTATAATGAAAATGTAAATTTGATATAGAAATACAAGAAACTTCTCTCTATCGTATGAAATGGCTTTTCGATTCAGCAACCATCAATTTTGTTCATTGCCAAACAAATGCTTCGATATTTGCAATTTTTTAGAGATTTGATAACTCAATTACTGACGGAGAAATTTTACGGAAGTACGGAATAATCCTCATCCGGTATCATCATTTTGTTCGAGAACACGTTTTCTATGGATCTGATGAATTTCACACATTAATCAGTCGAAAGAACGCTCGTTTTATATTAATTATACAGCGGATGCAGAGAGGTCGGAAAACGTGACTAGTACATCTACATTAATTCGAATAAGAAAACATTCGTTTGTATAAAGTATAAGTATTATCACGAGAGAAACATAATATTAGAATGTTATTCACGCGGATTTTTCTGTATATATTGGTAGACATCACAGAACAGCTTAGAATACCTCCTACAAGATGTGTTTATAGAATTTAGTATAGATTTCATTTATCTGTAGTAGACGAAGAATATGTCTTTTAATAGAAAACAATGAAAAATCACATTTGGAGAGGAATGTTGTGTATAAATAAAGACCATAATTTGATATGTGCAAGTCTGGTTGGTTAAACTATATCATATGAATTGTTGTGATCGGCATCACCTGAAATCTGTTCAAATGACAAACAATTTGTTTTATGTTCCTGTTAACCTACGTAGTAAAGACATCGAGAAAAGCGTGCACTATCATAATTTACCGTTCACCAACTCTTCTGTTTATGAAATAAGTATCATTAATTTTGCACTACGATTAAACGAATTTTTATAGCTGAATGAAGCATTTTCTCTGTATCGTGAACACATAATTTCCGATATGTTTGTTCGAAAGAAGTCATTTATGTATATCCCATGTAATTTTGAAACGTCGACTAAACGCACCTGAAATGAGAAACTCTTAAACTGTTCGTTCAACACTACCTTTGGTGACCTATTCTGATTCTCATTCTTGGAAAGGATTGAAAGGTTTTATGCTCGAGTCTTACTATCGCGGAACAATCTAAACGTATGTATAAAAATTGAAGAGATGACCATTAGCAGAGAACAATGGTAATGAAGGTGAAAGCTATGTTAATATGACGATTCTTCGGCTACAGAACATGAAACACGGTTGAATGCATCTGAGGACGCACTCGGTGAACGCATCTATGTGCATCAAATGTTTTATTCCTGTCGCATTTGGTGCATTTACGCTCAAAAAATTCAGATAATCATAATTTTTTCGTGTATTATCTTGATGTAATTAACTATACTATTCAAGTCCTCTTTCTTTATCTGATATAAATAAACGTAAATCTGAGAGAAAATAATGATGACTAATTTTACTTATTCTACGTCACAATCTATTTTGAAATAGATTGGAAGAGCACGTCTACTCGCACAATAATAATTCAGTTGAACTTTGCCTGAATTCGAGAGATTTCTATTATAAAGCTTCTACACTTTTTTTGACAAAGCATATTTTCCTCGTATGGCAGATTCAATTGAGACCGGTCAAGATGATATGAATGATATATTCGCAATATACGATTTAGCAATTCCTCGTTCGGTTCGATTCTGGTGGTACCTTATTCTGAATGTTTGTTCAATGATATGCTCCTTATTTGTTTTGTATCAACTCTTGTTTCATCGAAAACTTCGACAGGCATTGAACAATCATGTTATTATTGTTTTACTCTTTGCTGGATTGATCTATGAATCAGTAAGTGTCCCATTTATGCTTCACTTTTATCGTGTTGGATACTCGTGGAACATAACAGTCAGTTTTGGTCATTTTTGGCAATTCATGGATTATACAAGTTACACAATATCTTTAGTAGGCTTTGCGTGGGCTACAATTGAGCGACATATTCTCATATTTCATCAACAATGGATTGCAACAAGGAGACAACGTTTTTTCGTTCATTATTTACCTATTATAACAATTGTAGTATATTCTATCATGTATTGGTCTCTATCAATCTTCTTTCCAGCATGTGACGATCGAATTTTTCTGCAACCAATGAATGGAGTTCCTGCACCGTGTATGGCTTATCAATTATTCTGGGGAAAGTGGAATACAGTGTGCCATCTAATTCTGTCAACGTTTATCATAACTATTTTCAGCAGCGCTCTTCTCGTTCGAATTCTTTGGCAAAAAACTCGTTTGAATCGATCAATCCAATGGCGACAGAATCGAAAAATGACTATTCAATTAGTACTTATTTCGCTCCTTTATCTTTTCTTCAATCTTCCTCGTTCAATTCTAACCAGTGTCACAGTCGACGGTGCATCATCATACTTAACCATGAAATTGATTGTGCATCTTACCTTTTTTGCTATTCAATTAATATTCTTTTTGCCATTCATTTGTTATATGACAATACCTGGATCTGGAAAGAGATTGAAGAAAATTCTTTTGCTGAAAAGTGGTCGAAACATGATTTTGCCCATCGGTGTAACAGCAGAGCGTGAGAACAACAACCAAACGGGCCAAAGAGGTACTCGCGTGGCTTGAAAGTTTTTTTTGTCTTTTCTCTCGAATAAAAATTAAAAACAAATATTTTATTAAGAGTTGATCAAAAGTCTTAAGTCTCATTGTTCTTTTAATCAGTTGTAGAATATTGTTGATTGTCAAATACATGAAAATTTGTGTTTCAAATTTTACTTAATGAAATAAAATAATCGTAAGAGAAGAAAAGAGATATTATTGGACAATTTCGCGATTGAATAAAGATTAACAGTCAAGGATAAATAACACCAGCAATATGCTGTAAATACAATTTGCAATAACAATATTTAGAGTGTTGTTGCTCTCAATATCGGTTATATCGAGTGAATATAGATCAATAACAAGGTCCGAACTATTGTTATCATCAAGATCAGCAACTACCACTAATGATTGTGGACCATCGCGAACTGATACAGTCAATTGATTCGATTGAAAATGCATTCGAACTAGTTATAAAGAATAACAGATCTTAGCAGAGTCAGCGTTTACTATGAGAATCTCGAGGTGATTGTCGCCGTTAACATCTTTCACGATTATATCGTTTGCATGAGTAACCCATCGAACAATTTGTCTGATTGAGAAAAGGAGGATTGTAGGCTAAAATAGAAACAGGATAACACTTAACACTTGTAACTGTGGATTTCACGAACATATACGAAAGACAAGATAAAAACAGCAGTCGTCATTGGACTTTTTGAGAGGGGTTTAGTTATCTCATGATTACCTGAGTACAAATCTACACTTTTGATTCACTATTACTCATTCATCAAATCTGTTATTTTCCTTCATTACTATCAACATACTCACCAACAAATAGAATTCGAGTGCTCTCGATATTCACTACCAGATTGTTCATTTCATTTCTTAGATCACCAAACAATTCACAGATCGAAGTTCATTAAGGATGGTAGAGAATTGACATTTACATCAATCGAATATATTGTGTATTGGAATGAAAAAGAAAAGTGAAAATAAAATGGTGAATACTTTGAACTCTTCTCTCGCTTTTCTTTTAGTTTTGTTCCATTAAGTAATGAAGAGATTCAATAAACTCTCGTCTGACGTTCTTTTTTCATATTCCGATAGTGAAAAACAAAAGTAACAACAAAGCGAGATATATAACAATTCGCGCTCTTCCTATAGGGTTTCACTCGTCTTTTTCTTGCATTTCTTATCCAAACAAGAGGTATTTGAGAATAAAAAAGTTACTTGAAAACTAGGCGTAGAAAACCTTAAAATCTATGAAGTGTACAAAATACTCATAGTGGATGAAATCCAACACTCGTCAGTGTTCTCGATTTGTTTTATTTACTTCATTGCATAACTGCGAAAACGTAAAATCCAAACAATCGTTCTATTGTCACGTCGTAGCGACCAATGTTATGTAAAAATGAATTAAGTTAAAATGCATGATTTCTTTGAAACGATCGACTTAAATACAACCCATTCAATACAAAACTCTGTGGCTATAGAAGGTATTTCACGATTTCAATCAGTATCGAGCCGACAGACAAGAGTAAATATGTTCTCATTGTCATCGTCCAGATATTACAATTGAACAAGTTGTTTTTCATTTGTGAGTGATTTTTCAACATCTTGAGGAAAACGAGAAAATTCTTTCACTCAAATAAGAGCATATCGAACGACAAAATACAGTTGAATCACAAGGAAAACATCAGTCGATCAATATGATTTGAACAACATCGAAGAATTCTGCTTTCTATAAGCAAACAAAAGAAAAACTTTCATTAACATTATTAGAAAGATTTTTCTTCGATTCCTCGTTTGTCCTGAAGCGATTTGTTTGTTTTTTATTTGAACATATAAACAAAATGTAAAGCACAAGAATTACAATCGAGATGAAATACTCATTGTTAGTTTCATATGACATTTGAATGAATACTTTCTCTTTAGCACTAAGGTCATCATTCTCGAAAATACATATGCGTCTGACTATTTAAATAACGTTTGTCACCCTCAAGTTACTTATACGATGACAATTTAGGCATAAACAACTATTAAATATCGCCTATGAGTTTACCTTTTTGACTCTCTATTTGTATTCTTTTGTATTTTTATGAAAGAAGGCAACTTAAATATATTTCTCTCTCACCTGTAATTGACGAAATATCAAAACATGCTTCGCTACACTATAATTTACTGTTTTGTTTTCATTCACATTCGCAGTAGGATTATTTTATTTTGTCTCGTTCAGGATTGTTTACTCGTTGTCCAAGGATTGATTAAAAGAATCTCAATATGTTAACATCAAAATTAGTGACCGTTGTCAACGACACTCATCTTCCCTTGCAAGAAATCAAACATAAATCAGTAGTTCTCATTGAGATCTCTAACAACAATATAAGTTCTTTATTTCAAATTCGAACCCGAACTTATTGCGTTCTATTACTCATCACCGTAGCACTTTCAATTGTCAGATTTGCCATTGGTCAATCCTATATCGATCAATGTCCAATAGAACCACATATACCGATTTCCCTTTGGATCAGTGGTGTAATTGGCATCATTACTTTCTTACTTAGTGGATTACTGATCGTATCGCCTGGCTTTGTTGGACCATCAGAATTAAGAATAGAAAATAATGAGGTTGTCGTTCAAACGCCCTTACTCACTCGCATTTTTAGTATATTAGTCGCACTTCTCAATGTGATTCTCGTTGTTTGGCTAATTTACGGTACATATCTAACCTACAATGTGTATAATCGCATCCATCGAAGTAAAAAGATAAAACATCAATTTTATTGTGATGAAACACTTCACAAATACAATACAGTTTTGTTGGTCGGAAGTTTTGTTACAACCATTGCACAATGTTATTATACAGCAATCCGTTTGCAAAGATTCTCGACTTTTTGTACCCTCTTAGCGGCAAATACGAATTGTAGAGTATTTTTGTAGATACGCGTCTCACTGTTCATTTTTCTTGTCTACATATTCTTCTGAAGAAAACGATTTTTCTTTATACACCATAGATATGATCGTTAAATAAGTGTTTGCCTGTTGATTCAGTATGGTTTACATATCAGAGATGTCCACAGAAGCAGGGCAGGGCGAAACAGAACAGGACAGGAAAGAAGAATGCGCCCTGTCGACACCCCCCCCCCCCCCCCCCCCCCCCCCCCCCCCCCCAGCGTTCGCGCCTGGGGGTCTGGTAGCTTTGGTG